GAGAGCGAGAGGGAGAGAGAGATGGCCAGCGAGAAAGAGAGTTCAGACGTGGAAGTGAAGTGGAATATGCGTAAATGATGCCATATTGTTATTGCTGTCAAATGATAAACAGTTACTTCAATTGAACTCAATTTGAGCATCGAACTGAGTCAAGCAGCGTCCAGGCGGCAATTTCGAGAATCTTTAAGAATTTGTGAGTGTTTGTTGTGTTAATTAGATTTTCGTCATTTTGAGAGGGTCTCGAGTGGCAGGGCTCTGATTATTGTTGCTCAGCATGGTTTGGGTAATGCGGCGAGTTATAGGCATAATTAACAAGCCACTTAACAAACAAATACACACACACACAGACACAGGGAGCCATTTAAACAGCTTCATTTTTGACAGTTTCAAGTGGCGCCCCCACAGTTAACCGTTAGGTGGCAAAGTGTGGTTGGGGCTAATACGTTAATATCCACAAGTATGCGTGTATGTAAATGTGTATGTGCTCATGTCACTTAAACCCTTTTACAGCGACAATAATAAATTCAGCAGCTCGTTAAATTTAACACGCTGCACTCATACATACATACGTACGTGCTTAAGTATATGTGTGTATACATTCCTGTATGCAGTTCGGCTTGTATGTATGTTTGTATGCATGCGTGCATTCGTGTGACTTTTTCTCTTTTTTGTTTTACTTATTGCACGCACGTACGAATGGGATATTTGCCATGTATGAATGGGTGCATGTATGTATGTAAATTTAACTCCCTCTGTGCGCAGGCGTCGGCGCCACTGCTGCCAGAGTGACCTTCACAAACCATAAACAAAATAAACAAAGTAAAAACGCACGCGAATAAAATCGCGCGCGATTTTATTTAGATTTGTCGTCGACCCCAGCGGCCTCAAATAAAAGCAAAATAAAAAAAAACATATTTGTTTTTATTTTAAATTTTTGGCTACGCTCTGCATGCCGTTTTTTTTATTCAAATTGCGCAGTCCGTGTAGGTAAATGTTTATTTTTATTAACATACATACATACATATGTGTGTACATAATTATAAAGGCATTGTACATGTCGTGTACCTTTCGTAATTGTGTCCGCCATGTGTCACATTTTATTTATGTGGCTAATGTGTATGAAAACTAGTTTGCATGTCTAGCCCAAAATGCCATCCACAATTTGGCTGCCAGTCCAAGGTAAGTCCCAGATTGGCTTAAAAGCTCGCCCTCTTTCCCGTACTCCGCTTCACTCATACGATCCACTTCAGCGTGCGAGTGCGGAGGGAACAGGCAGGCGTGAAATAGCAGATACACACATATGGTCAAGCAGAGAAGCTGCAGCAATACTTCCAGGCAACTTCCAACAGAAGACAATACAATCATCAGTCTCTGGAAGTGTAGGCGGTCAAGTAAATTCGAAAGCAGCATATACAGTGGTAGGGGACAAGCAGTCAAGCTTTAATTGGAATTGAAATTTTACGAAAATGAGCTGAGAATTAGTGTGAGGTCCACTTTGAAAAGAAAAATGAAAAACCCACGCTCTTCCAAAGCACTAAAAATGTTTGACATACTTTTTGCAACCCATTCGCATTTTTTGACAGCTCGAAAAAAATAGAGAAAAACATAAGAGAAATATCTCTTCTTTGGAATTGTACGCCAATGCGATCCACATACATACTTTCCAGCCCACGGTAAAGTCATGGCAAATATTTTGTCTTAACAGGCAAATTCAATTAGCGAACGCTTTAAGCCCGCCCACAGCCCGCCGTTGCCCTTGTCCAGATTCCAAGCTAAATGAGTATGAACGACATAAAAGTAAAAGACTAAAGCCAAATGATTTGACAGCCAAATACAGCGTTTGCCAATTGAAAATAAGAGTATTGACAGTTGGTGCGCTAATGCATTGACTCGTCCCATTTGTATGTATGTATGCGCATGTGTCTGTGTATGTGAGTGACTGAGTATATATGCCGATTGCCTGCTCATTCCAGACACCCCCTTCCCTCTTTTCATTTGCTCTCTCTGTCGCCCGCACTATAATATTATTGAAACGGTGTTTTTACTTTCAAGTTGGATACACAGCTGTGTTTGCGCTCTATAAATAAAGGCAACTAAAAATGGCAATGTATGCGTTTTCATTTTTCCTGTAATGTTTACGACCTGCCAGCCAGCGCAGGAGTGACTGAGACGGACAGAGGTGCGATAGAGCGAGAGACAGGGAGAGGGAGAGGAAACTGCGGCTGCAGCGAAAGCAAACAATTTATCAGCTCCGCGGGATGTGCTGGAAATGGGTGGCCAACGGTTTATTGGAACTCCAATAAGTAGTCTGGGGGATGTATAGATACAAGTCTCTGTGTGTGTGTAGAGGTTAGATATGCATAAGCTCTGGCAATGGCAAAAAATGAAACGTTAATTGCGTTGACGCTTTCTGTTGACTGTTTGTCCCATTGTTTGTGTGGCTTCACAAATTCCTATCTCTCCCATCTACCATACGTTGATGAAGTGCGGTTTTGGTGGTTTTGTTTTTGTTTTCGCTTTTTCTCTTTTTATCAAACAGTTGCCAGCAAATTTCGAGAGTTCATTATGCAGCCTGTTTAGATTGTGACTAATTAGCCGGTTAAAATTTAGCTTGTTAAATAAAATTTTTATTACGCATTTTACTATGATGCATTCTCAATCAAATGGAGAACATTATTGTGAACATTGCAATTATATATGCATTTATAAATTGTATTTATAAGAATTTCTTTTGAAAATTCGTAACTTGCGGAAGTCGTTATTTATATATCTTTTAAAATTGTTTTGCGTTTTATCTTATCTGAAATAAACTAAATTCGGATGCCCCATTAAAAATAAAAAATAAGAAAAAAAAACTGTCTGTAACCAACTGTGCTATACTCTACAAAACTTTAAAACTGAAAAATGCCTAATTAATGCATAAATTGTATATAACTAATATACCTCACTTCACACTCTGCGAAGAGCGCATTATAAATGAGAGCTTTAATATACAAAGGCAGAGCCAAATACAGTTAGCTGTGGAATCTATCTGCGCATGTCTTGTTGTTGCTTTTCCTTTTCGTCTTTCAGCTTCTTCTTGGTGTTGTAACTGCAGCAGTTCTGTGACTCATATGGCAGCTCATTGTTGCTGCTGTTGTTGTTGTTGCTGTTTTCGTTGATTATTTATTACATATGTATCTTGGCACTCTTGATGTCAGCCCCGCGCCGCCCACCGCGTCGCGTCCTGCCCGTCTGTCTGATGACGCTGACTATGCCGAAGATGACGTGTGAGGCGTTCGGAAGAAAAGAAAACAAAAAAAAACAAACGAAAACAAAAAAAAGACGCAAACTAAAAGCGTTGCCAACAACTGCAAAGTGAGCTATAAAAACAAAAAATGCATTTCATAATGTTTATTGTAATGGGCAAATGGATATGGGAATGGCAGTGGAAACGATCCACTGGCCAGTCTGTTGTCAAACCAGGCGGCAGTCTAGACGCCACTGGAAAGTGTGTGTGTGCGGTGTGTGCAGCATGTGCTCGCTGCAGCACGCGAAGTAAATTGTGGATCGCAAAATGTGTGGATGAATATATATCGTATTTAAATTACAATTAATACAGCAGTTTAGATGATTTGCAATCCACATGCATTACACATATCATGAGTTGATCTACATGCGTTCCACAAATGTGTAATTATACAATCAAATTGTGCAGAGCTTAACGAAATTACTGTCCACACATGCATGTGACTGTATGTATGTGTATGTGTGTTTACATAGATGTACGCTGACCGATACAGAGCCGGTGTGTCGCGCGTATACACTCACACTTAAACAGATACGCACTTGTAACTGTAATTATAACACGCGCAATCGCAGCAACAACAACTGATAGTGATTATGTGGCGGGAGTAAAATCGGTGACAACAACAATGACAGCACATTGTAACAAATGAAAATGATGCGTGTCCAATGAAAGCTTTATCAGCGCGCAGCGTGGTGCTCTCATTTCTTAGTTATCCATACGTTTGGCCCACATACCACGCACACACTCAGAGACTCTCAAAGGCACACATACTGTTGATGATGATAATGATGATGACGATGATGTAGCTTAATCACTTTGCTTTTGCTTTAGCTGCTGCTGTTGCAGTTGTTGTTGTAGCTGTTGCGTTGACTAAGCTTCCTGCCTACATTCCCTCCTTCTCTCTCTCTTTCACTCTCTCTCTCTCTGTCTCACTTTCTCAAGTAGCCTCTCGGCCACTATTGGTGCTTATGACCCAATTTGGCGCTTGAAACGTTTCGTAAACGGCCCACCGCAGTCATTTCCGCGCCCAAAAATAAAAGTAAAAACTTAAATGAGTGTGTGTCGCTCGCTTACATTCCATGTCTCCCCCACACACGCATGCTCTCTAGAGTATTTGATGCGTGCCTGTGTGTGTCTGTGTGCGTGCGTGTTATCAAACGCCACATTCTTTATTTATTTGCCCAACACCGTTGATTGATTAGCTTTCCAATTGATTTCCTATGGGCTCTAACGATCTGGCAACACCGACGCCGCAGCAGCATCTAAACGCGCAGCTGGCAAAGAGAGCGCGCGCACGGACGCACGCACGCACGTGTCTCTGTTGACGCGCGCGCGCCTGCCATATATGTACGCATAAGTGTGAATGCATGTGTGCGTGTGTGTGTCGTATGTGTGCATGTATGAGAGAGTGAGCGAGCGTCCTGCAAATAATAAGAATGAAGGAAACGAAACAAAAGCAATTTAGAGCAGCTGCGCACGCGTGTAGGTGTAATTCTATCTGTGTGTACATGCGTGTGCCTGTGTGTGTGTGTGTGTGTCTGGGTGTACATTATTTGTGTTTGACTTGAACTAGTCGCCGACAGGCATCTCAGTTGACAATTTCACGCCTTGCCAAATACACGTATCGCGTCATCTTGTTGTCGCTCCTTTTCGCATTCAAATTCGTTCTGATCGCTGATGTTTTTCGCACTTCTCTTTTGATCGCTTGCAGATGTCATTGACGAAAAAGGATCCGTCGCTGCGTGTTGCTGCTTCTGATCCCCATTTGGTTAGCTTGGGCGGCGGTCGCCTCAGCACCGCTGTCACCATACACTACATACATATAGGTAAGTATATACACACATAGACATAAACACACATACACATACACATACACATACATAAAACATACACACATACCAAGGTCATTTGTAAGCCGATAAGCAAAACTCAAATTCAAGAAAACAATTCAAAAGGCAAATGAAACGCGCGCGAAAGCCACGCACGAAATAAAAATAAACAACAACAACAACAACAACAACACATATTTTTCGGAACTCTTATTGTGCGCTGCGATAAGATCCGCACAGTGTGGCCAAAGAGTCTCTAAGCTTTTAGGATCTTGGCAAGTGTATGTCCAAAATACCATCATAAAGATAGCGCTCTTAAAGATTATGCGTCTAAGCCTCATATCATATCGTTAGAAGCTTTCAAATATTTCCACCTGAAAACTAGCTCTAAGTTACAAGACAAATTTATTTTGCTTTAAAATGCAGTTACATTTTGTAGAAAAAATTATATTTCATTTATTATTTAATTGCTCAAAAAAATCTTGCCAAATTTTCGTCTTGCTGAAATTAAATTTTAGCTATTTAATTAATAAAAATGTGAAAATTTTTTTATTAAAATTAATAAGTTCATTAAACAACAATTTTCAACAAACTTGACGGAATTACCGTTAATTATAATTCGAAGAATTGCAATCAATAAATTATTGCTGCCAAACAAATAAAACGCAGTCCAGTGTGCGTAATCTTTGACACGGCGCAACGGTATAGCGGTAACATGCCTTGGCGAGGACGTCCCCTTCTTGCTGTTGTTGTTGTTGCTCTCAGCGCGAGCTGAGATAAGAGCGCCCGCAGTTGTCAGCTCAGCCCGGTTCGGCTCAGCCTGTTGCTGCTCTACTCTGCTCTACTCAATCGCAAGCCGAACGCACGTGCGAGCGAACGAGAGCGACTGTCGCAACGGTAAAACGGGCGACAATAACGGTTAGAGTTTACAGCTGTAACTGTAACTGCTCAGTGCTTACAATAAAAACGAGAACAAAAACAAAAACAAAAACAAAAGCAAACAAACAAAAAAAAAACACATTTTTTGATTGACAGGCGACACAACAATCGGATCGGCGCCAAGCTGTAGCATCTCGCTTAACGGTAGCGGAGTCCGTCCACTGCACTGCACCATATATAGAAGCGAGGGCAACGAGGTGACTCTGGTGCCAGAGCCGGAGGCGCGGCTGCTCATCGACGGCGCTCCTTTGGATGACGTAGAGGAGGCGAAGTTGACACAGGGTGCCATGATAACCATTGGCAACTCCAACTATTTGCGTTTCAACAATCCGGACGAGGCGCAAATGATGCGCTCAGCAATGGGCTCCAACGAGCGCATCTCCATGCCGCACATCGATTTTACGCAATCGTCGCGACCCAGCGATAGCCAAACACTGGAAATGGAGAGCTTCTACGAGAGCATCATCAATCCCATCAAGCATAGCGGCAATGGCAACAACAGCAATAGCCACAACATGGATCTGCATGGCGTGCAGTGCCCCAAGGTGTTTAGCTCCGATCTGGTCACTGTGAATATGCCCGCCCGCGATGTGCTCGGCCAGAAATATGCGAGCTTCGCCCGCAATCTGGCCGAGAATCATCGCAGCGAGAAGCAGCTAAACAATCAATATGCCAAAGCCCTAACCGGCAGCGGGGCCAACGGAATTGGCCATAATGCCGGCTACTGCAACGTACCCAGCAATGCGGCTGTCTTCAAGCAGCAGCAGCAGCAGCAACAGTTGGGGCATCAGCAGCAGCAGCAGCTGGGCCAGCCAGAGCTCTTGGGCAAGGTGAACAATGATCGATATGATCGTTATCCAAAACCGGGCACCTACACCGCCGGCGGCCTGCAAATATTCGCCATGAACGGCCTCAATACGGAGCTGAACAGCGGCGCCGAGCTCGAGGATATGCTCAAGATTTGCACCGAGTATGCGGACCGGCAGCAGCAACAGTTGCAGCACAGCGCCAACAACAGCGGCAGCAGCCATGCGCTGCACAATGCCAGCGCCGGCAGCATTACCTCCTCGCCAATTGTCCAGAATCGTATCAAGACAAACGGCTCGCTGCCCCGGGACAAGAAGCCAGCGTTTCAGCAGCATGCGGGCAGCAGCTCCAATTTGGCCCTGATCAGCAGCACCTCCGGCTATGAGAATGTCCGTATACTGGGTCCGAATCGAGTCGAGATCAATGGCCAGCTGCATGTGCCTGCCACAGCCGGAACTGGAGGAGCCGCTGCCACTTCGTCAGAGAATCTGTTGGCCAGCGGCACGACCAAGTATGTGCCACAAAGTCCGCGCACCAAAATACGCACCAATTGCATGTCGCCCAAGAAGGATGCATCCTTTAGTAGCGCCTTTGCGCTGGCTAGCTCCACGCCGACGCAGACGCCGATGCCGGCGGCGCCAGCAACGATGGCGTTGGTCAAGCCGCCGTTGGCGCCCAAGCCGCCGGCGCCCAATCAGCAACGCGACTACGAGCAGCTGTTCAAATCGTTCGAGCGTAAGCAGCAGATCGAGCAGCAGCAGCAGCAGCAGCAAATGCACCAGCAGCAGCAGCAACATCCGGCCAAGCGCTCCAACAAGAACATCAACAATCTTACGCTCAATCTAAACGAATCCGCCAGCCAATCGCCCAAGCCCAGTCGCAAGCCTGCGCCCGCGCCGCGCAGCATCAATGCGGAGCAGAGGAAGCGGCGCGAGCTGGATCAGCGGCACACGCAGCTCAAGCAGGAGCTGGGCGAACTGCCAGACGCCGCCAACAATCACGAGGTAGAACCTATCCATAGGGCATATACTCCATCTCTCTATATATATATATCTAACGTTCCAATTTCTCCTGCAGCTGGCGCCAGATGAACTGCAGGCCACGTCCACAGCGAAACCCGTGTCGACTCCTCGCCAGCAGCTGCTGGCCCTGCAGAATCGCATCCATCGCCTGGAGGCGCAGCGCAATGCTACTCGCGTGATGGAGGAGAATCAGCAGGCCAAGCTGAAGCAGTCCATTGAGATGAAGCAGGATCAGCTGAATAAGTAAGAGTATATAGATGTAGATATATGGATAAGGCTATAGGGATATACCCTGTAAATGCCAGGAAAACAGCTGAATAGACAGATTAAATTAGGAGATACCCTGTGAATGCCAAGACAGCAGCTGAATAGATAGATTAGATTAGGAGATACCCTGTAAATGACAAGACAACAGCTGAATAGATAGATTAGATTAGGAGATACCCTGTAAATGCCAGGAAAACAGCTGAATAGATAGATTAGATTAGGAGATACCCTGTAAATGCCAAGACAACAGCTGAATAGATAGATTAGATTAGGAGATACCCTGTAAATGCTAAGACAACAGCTGAATAGATAGATTAGATTAGAAGATACCCTGTAAATGCCAGGACAACAGCTGAATAGATAGATTAGATTAGGAGGTACATCAGCTAAGGAAATACCCTGTAAATCCTGAATGTATAATGTGTAGATGCCTAAATCAAAATACATTAGTTAAGGAAATACCCTGTATATCAAAAAAGCTTAGCTGAATTTGTAGAATATGTGGAACAACTAAGAAGATACCCTGTAAATCCAATCACATCAGCTGAATGCATGGGTTCAATGTATGCAGCAGTTAGTTAGATACCCTGTAAACTCAAATACCTTAGATGAAGTCATTTGTTGAATCCACTTCAGGAGATACTCTGTAAACTTAATTATAGCATTTTAAAATATAAGTTCAGTGAGTAGGTTAGTTAAGCAAATACCCTGTAAAACCAAATACCTTAACTGAATGGTAAAATCAGTTAAGGAAATACCCTGTAAGTAGAAAGAGCTCAACAGAATACATTAGTTAAATATGTAAACCTATGTAGCTAGGTAGATACTGCGTAATCTGACACAAATATTCCATTAGGAAATATTCCATTTGCATACAAGATTTGGCTAACATAAAAGCTTATAGTTTCCAGCCGATTATCTGGACCTATGCAAATTGACAGCTTTATAAGGTTGATTCATTCATTAAAAACAGCAAAGGAAAAAGGAAATGTTAATGTTAGTTAGGCATGATTCGGTATTATCGACGTGAAGATACCCTTTTATCAGCTTTGTTTTTACAATTCTTCCGATGAGTAACGAATTCTTGGGAAAATGAAACCGGATCAAAACTGAAGGCGTTATCTATAGCAACAGAACGCGAGGGCAGCCTTGAAGATTGAAGACATAGCACTGACGAGTGAGATTTATACCAGAAATTGTCGCAGCCTCTTAGTTGAAGACTCCCTTTTGTAGCAGATATAGGGTATTAATAGCATTTAATGGCGTTTAGACAGAGTTTTTACTCGTATGCCCGACTCTATAGAACTCTACAGAACAGTTCACTTAGAGTTAAACTTCAGTTGAGTTTTCCAATTGTTGACTAGAAAAGCACGAGGGAAGTTCGAATTTCTAATCGTAATTTTTTGATTTTTCAGACTGCGCGCCATGCTGAAACAGAAGCCGAACAATGCCTGCCTGAAGGAGGAGCTGGAGCATGTGTGCGAGTCGCTGGACAGCGATCGTAAGGCATTTGAGGATCTGGAGTTTCAATATTTCGAGGAGGAGTCGGAGCATCATGCTTGCCACGAGGACCTCAAGCGACAGGAGCAGCGTCTCATCTTGGAAACGGAGCTGGCGTCGTTGCACATACAGCTGGGACGCGACGAGCAGCCAGAAGAGGAGGAGTCGCACGCAGTGTCCAACACAAGCGGACGCAGCACGCCCACTGCCAATGGCAGCAGCAATCTGATCAATGGCGTCATGTCCCAGTCACTGTTCGGCTCCGCTGAGCTATTGTGCCCCAAGCGGCACAATCAGGAGGATCTAATGTCGAAGAGCGTCAACGAGAACATGTTCCACAACAACAAAATCGAACTGCCACACGGTGGGCAGGTGACGAGCACACCGAAGCGGGCGCCGTTGCAGATTTACGACGCCGGCAGCTGTGAGCAGATTAGCTTCAATTTATCGCTGCGCAGCGATCGATTCGAAGTGAATCCGCTGGAGCGGCGCGTGCCCTCGCAGGATGACATCGACCGCAGCTGCAAAGTGGCCAACGATGCGCCGATTTCGACCAGCCAAGGAGCCAGCACCAAAATCTTCGACAGCATCAAAGAAATCGAACGCAATCGAAAGCTGCTGCTGGCCCAGCAAGGTGAGCGGCGCTCCAAGCAAGCTGAGCTTCAATTTCTGACATCTACATACATCAATCTGTATATATATATATATATAGGTCACCAGGTCATTGAGCACGAGCGCCAAAAGATGTACGATCTGAAGAAGAAGAGCCACGACGAGGCACGCACACAGTATTTGCTCTCCATGCAGCAGACAACAGAGTCGACGATTGAGCCACCACGACCGCCACCCAAGCACGCTCCACTGAACGCCAAGTGAGTGAATGTTCCTTTACCACCACAAACTTTGCCCCACCGCCCCACCACAGTGCCCGTCTGTCTGTCCGTCTATCTGTCCGTCTATCTGTCCGTCCGCCCTTCCGTTCGCTTGCTCTAATTGAATCAACGCGGCTTAAACGCAACTGAAGTCGGCTCCGTAGCAGTTCAGTTCGCGTTGCCTAACCTCCGGCATGGCGCACTCTTCGTTCCACATGCTTGACCCTATCTTAATTAATTGTGCAGCTGACACAAGCTGCGATGCATCCACCCTTACACTGTGCTACAAAGTACTTGAATATGTTCATATTATTGTTTATAAAATATAAAATATAAAATATAATATATAAAATATAAAATATAAAATATAAAATATAAAATATAAAATATAAAATACAAAATATAAAATATAAAATATAAAATATAAATATAAAATATAAAATATAAAATATAAATATACAATATAAAATATAAAATATAAAATATAAAATATAAAATATAAAATATAAAATATAAAATATAAAATATAAAATATAAAATATAAAATATAAAATATAAAATATAAAATATAAAATATAAAATATAAAATATAAAATATAAAATATAAAATATAAAATATAAAATATAAAATATAAAATAAAAAAAATAATATATAAAAGTATAAAAATATGAAAATATAAAAATATGAAAATAAGCAAATAAAAAATACAAAAATAAAAAAAAAATTAAAAATTAAAGAAAATAAAATTAAAAAAATAACAAATATTAAACATGATTAATTATTATTAAATCTTAATGAATTAAGTTCTGTATTTTGTGTGTTGTGCAGTGTAAATGCCTTTTGGGTGGCGTGCACACTCAACCCGCTGTCTCTATAATTAATCAAATTATTTGCTAATAGCAAAACAATGCGACGGCGTCGACGTCGCTGTCGCTGTCTACGCTGACGATGACAACGACGACGTCGACTGCTGCTGATTGTGTTTAAGATGGAAAATAAAACCGGTTTTAAGTTTTCAAATTACGTGTCGATTTTCAAATTGTTAGAGAAACAAACAGAGAGAGTCAGAGTCAGAGAGAGAGAGAGAGATGACAAATGCTTTGCGTGTTGATTAGTGTGGCTTTTGGCTTACTCACGGACGGAGACACACGACACCCATTATCGAATTCGATGCCGATTGTCGCTCTCAAAGTTATTCGAAGATCGTTTGGTTGCCTGGTCGCCTGGTCGTTCAGTCGGTCAGTTGGTTAGCTAGTTGGTTAGTTAGTTAGTTAGACGGCAACGACGACGACGGAGGCAACACCTGAAATTCAAGCGTGCTGCAGTCGCTGCTGCTGCTGCTGCTGATAAGCTTATCAACTGCTTGTTTGCGCCACTCTCACTTGCTGCTCGCTCTCTCGCTCTTTCTCTCTCTCTGTGTGTGTCTATCTCTCTCACCCTATCTGTTGCTCATAGAAGTCAAGTGTGTTCGCGCGACAGTGGCAGCGCGTTCATTTATTTGCCAGACGTCGCATTTGTGCATTGTGTGACCGCCGGTCTCATCCATACCACATAGACGTCCCGCACTCGATTTCGATTCCGATTCCTATTCCGATTTGACGTCTGCTTTCGATACGCAGCGCCTGTTGCTTAGTCAGTCGAACGCAGCGCAGCGCAGCGCGTCGCAGTCGCAGTCGCTGCATTAGTCATCGAAATGGATAAGCTAAATGCGCTGATTCCATGCTGGTACGGCAGCTAGAAGCCCCGCGCCAGTGAAGCCAACCAACTTGCCTAACGTCTCGACGTCTCTCTTCTTCTTATCCTTGCAGCGGCGGCAAAGATGCCAAACTGTTTGACAAGCTCGAAATGCAGAAGCTCAACGATGAAACAGCTCCACAACAACAACAACAACATAAGGCACAGCATGATAAAGAGAAAAATGCGTCAGGTGATGGCAGCGCCAGTTCGAAAACCGCAGCAACAACAACGACGTCGACGTCGACGTCGACGCCAACAGCAAATCAACAGGTGAGTTAGCCAAGAAAGTTAACCTAGGCCAAAGCAAAGCAAAACAAAACTCTTCAATTTACGTGGCTCCCCCCTTGCCCTCGCTTCTACCTGCTACCTGTCGAGGTCACACGCACACCTGTGTAATTTGTAACTGCAAATGCTCGACATTCGCTTTGGCAAGACTTACGAAGCCCACAATCAATCGTCGATACGATTTTGATGATTTGCCTCTGAGCAGACTCTGCTCAATCTCTGACCATATAATGACTACCTTGCTAGGGGAAGTGGCGTGGGCGAGCGCAGGGGCAGGGGGCGGGCATATTCATTGCCCAAATATCACGTCGTAACTTAAGTAATCTGACGTTTGTTGTGTGTTGTGCCTGGTCGAGTGTGTAAACACGAATCTGCCATAAACAATTCCCTTGGCTCATGTGAGTTGTACGCGAAGACTTGAATTGTGCTGCACTTGAAACGGTGCTGCATACCCTGCAATTGCATAAAATACTAATATGTTTGCATATATATGATATGACCTATCAGATCATATATAACATTGACTCCGCCTTAACTCAAAGGCGCACTTTTAGCCTCTCAATACAAATGCCATTTATAATCGCAATTTGGCAACGATAAGAATCCTAAAATTGCCGCGTGTCAACAGTAAAAACTGTTAGGAATTCACGCAAAGTTAAATAAAAAGCAAATAAGGCCCCAAATATATATATTTAGTATCGTATAAATATATTTGCTCAAAAGAAAAGGTAAACAACGTGCAGAGATAAAGGTTATTTGCCTGGAAATCTCAACGCACTTCATGTAATCTCAAAGGTGGAAACTACATTTTCAGATCCCTCAAAGACATAATCCAAGTGCTATCTTTAGCCTATTGCGTCGGTCCAAGTTTCTGTATTCGAATTGGGCTATTTCACATTTTATTTAGCCTTAAGTAATTGCATGATTATAGATTAGGCCCAAACTTGTGCGCACATCAGCTGGAGCATGTTCTATCCCCCCTCTCTCTCTCTCTCACGCATTCGTTTCATTCTTTCACTTACTCTCTGTCTATCTCTCTCTCTCTCTCTGCCGTTCCTTTCCTTCTCTTACTCATTCTATCTCTCTCTCTCTGTCGTTACTTTCTTAAAAGATTTTTCTCACTTTTTTATCCATTATGCTCTCTCTCTCTCTTTCTTTCTCTCTCTCCCTCTCTCTCTCCCTCTCTCCCTCCCTCTTTCTCCCACTTTTTCTCGCTTTACTTCCCTTTCTATTCATTTCTTTCTCTCTCTCTTACTCTCTATCTGTATTTGCTTTTTTCACTTCCTGTCTATCTCTGTTCTCTCTCTCTCTCTTTCTTTCTTTCTCTATATATATATATATATATATATATATTTCTCAATCTTAAAATTCCCTGTCTTTCATTCCTCTCACTCTCCCTTTGCTCTATTCATCTCTTTTACTACTTTTCTCCCCTTATTTTATCATCTCTCTTTAAGAGTCGCTTTGACTTCTTATGTTTCAGTTTTGCTTTCTCCATATCTCTTCGTATCCTTTCTCTCTTTCGTTACACGAACTCTTTCTCCTCTCAGGACTCTACTTTCTGTATGTCTTTCTGTTTAGCCCTTTGCAACACTGTTAATTGTTTTCTTCTTTTACTTCTCTCACTCCTTCCCTCTTCCACTATCGTCCCTCTCCTTCTCTTTCTCACTTATTCACTCTCTATCTCTCACCAATGTTTCTTTTACTATGTTCTATGTTCTCCAATCGCCACTTTGTCCAGTTACTACTTCTTCTATATCCATTCTATCTGTCTTTCTCCTTTCATTCTCTCTCCACTCTCTCTCTCTCCTTGCTTATCACTCTCCCATCTCTCCTCTCTTCTTTTGCTCCTTCCTTCTCGCCTCTCTTCTCTCTTCTCTTCATTCTACTCTCCTAATCACCTACTCTCTTACTCTCCTACTCTGCTCTTTACGCGATACTCTTTCTCTCTCTCTCTCTCTCCTTTTGAATCGCAAGAAGCTCTCTGGCAATCGATCATCAGCTCGTTAGTCACGAGTTTTATTCAGCTATTCAGCGCCTCGTCAATTTGTTTGCTATTTTAGATATTTTTTCATTTCTTTTTAGCAATGTTTATTTTAAATTCGAAACGCCCCCGCAGTCCGCAGAGCCGTTCCGTTCCATTCCATTCCATTCCGATCCGTTTCGTAGCGCGCTGTTCCTTTCTATATGGACTACACTTTATTAATAAGTTTATAATAATCTTTTTCTTTTATACTCGCCGCCGACGATTTTCGTTTGCGGTCGTCAGTTTCTGTCCGTTGCTCGTTATGCGCACTTCTTAGTAGTTGTTGCTGTTGTTGTTGTTGTTGTTGTTTACCTTGATCGCAAATGTTGTTTACAAGTTTCGGGTCTAGTAGCAATGATGATTATTGCCAGCATCTTCGCACAGCGCCAATAGCCCCATAAATTGTGCTGGCCCATTACGATTGCCATTATAATTGGCCGATCGACAACTCTCGCATCCCGGTCCAGCGCCTCGACTGGACAATGTTCGTGTGCGCCTCGTTTCATTCTTGGCCATAGATTCACGTTTGTTTTCAGCTTTTTTTTTTGTTTTCTTGTGGTTTCGGTATTCCGCATTCGCATACGGTCGGCTACGCACGGTTGAGACGCGTCCAAGAAATTCCCAGAAATACGAAAAACCAATTAACGGACATAGACACCAGATCAAAGGATCGCCATCATCATGTCCGTCTGGATGACCTATGTGCAGCATCGTCGCATGGATGCCAATGCCAGACAGCGCACTGAGCTCTATTATCTAGTGAGTGTGTGTGTGTTGTGCCTTATCAATCTGACTTGTGCTCATGCAATTGCATTTTCCATTAAGTGAGAGAGCTACTCTATTAGCAGCTCTTCTATTAGATAATTGTATTACGAGATTCACTTATCTTCGACTGCACTAAAAAGTATGAAAATTATGTCGTCTTTGCTGTCTCCATTTCATTTCTTGTGTTAAACTTATAATATTAGTTCAATAATTCGCACAGTTCATTAATCCGAACATTGTCAAGAGCCCAAAGACCCAAATTAATTAATGAAAGACTTTATATAATTGAGTTGAAGATAAATAAAATAAATAATAATAAATGAAATATAATAAAATAAAATACAATAAAAAAAAAGAAAATTAAATAAAGTAATTAATAAACATTATAAAATAAATTAAAAAAAAATATTTAAAAATAAAATAATAAAAAAAAAAAATAAAATGAGTAAAACATTAAAAATTCAATAAATAAGAAATAAATTAAATTAAATTTGTTTTATAAAAAGTAAATAAAAAAAATAAAAAAATTTAATAAATAAAATAATATAAAATTCAATTTAATTTAAAATTAAGTAAATCAACAAAATATGAAAATTTTTTATAATAAATACAATAAATAAAATAAAATATAATAAAATTAGATAAATAAAAAAATAAAAATATAAAAAAATAATAAATAAATAAATAAATTAGGATACATAAATCAATACTTAAAATGTAAAACTAAATAAATAAATAAAATAATAAACAAATTAAAATAAATAAATAAAATAAAATAATAATATAAATAAATATACTTGAATAATTTATTATATTTTTGCTCTCACTGCTCACATTCCATGAGCACTTAGTTATGTGTGCGTATATATTATATAAACAAAATGTAGAATCCAGTCTTAACTGTTTTAACCTGTGCGCTAATTAGCAATTAGTTGATCCATTTTATGTAGATTTTAACTGAATAAAATGTAAATAAATAATTAAATGTTTACGTTTTCCCGTCCACCAAGTGCTAAAGTGTATATGCAGGTGTATGTTGGTATGTGTGTGTGTATATGACTATAGATAAGCATCTGTATATAATTGTAATAGAAATTGTCCTTTTGTCCTTGATTAAGGGTTACCTCTGTCTCTCTCTCTCTGTCTCTCTCTCCCTGCAGCAAATTAGCTTAAATCAAAAGCCTCAATCCAGCTCAAGATTACGTATGCTCGTGATGCTTAACCCCTAGACCCATTTGAGGGTTAAGCGGATTGGTCCATTGGCCATTGGCCGTTGGCCAGCGGAATGCGCAGCTTTGTCTTTGACATAGAAAGCAAACGAGAGAGAGAAAGAGCGAGAGTGAGTCAGAGAGGGGGAGAGAAAGAGATGCTTTGCTTTGCTTTGGCTATGCGTGGCCGCTGCTTGGCTGGCTATTTATAGAGCTTAGCCCACTTACAGCGCTCGTCGCACTATGAATTAATTGCGCTCGTTTTTGTCCACAGCAACGTCACTCGCAACCGGAACTGGAGCATCATGGATTGGTGGCTGCTGGCGCTGCTCACGGCACGGTGGCGCGCAGTCCGCGGCCGCTGTCGGAGGCGAACAACTGTGAGGCGGCCATCGAAGCGCCCAAGTTTGCCGCCAACGGCGATGCCGGCATGCCGGATAACAAGCGCGCCAGCAGCAATAGCAACTCACAGGACACGGCCTCGGCGGGCAGTGGGAGCAGCAGTGGCGCCGGCACCGGCAGCAGCAGCGCCAGCGCCAATGGCGGCGAACGTAAGCGGATGCTGCCCAAGCATCAGCGTCCACTGACACGTTACCTGCCCATCTTCTCGCCAGACCTGAACCTGCGCCATCACATCGAGACAGCCGGCCATCAGATCGATCTCTGTCCGCATGTGTTTGTCGATGCGCACAGCTGTCGCGGGTAATTATCAAAGCCAAACATATATAGACATATATATATATTTTAATGATATCTATAAATTGTATGCTCCATTCAGTTACCTGCACAAATTGGGCGCAACATTTCATGCCTGGTCGCGTCGTTGGTTTGTGCTCGATAGGCAGCGCAGCGCCCTCATCTACTACTCGGATAAGTCGGAGCGGAAGCCACGCGGTGGCGCCTACTTTGCCGTGAGTCGATAGAGCAGCAGATCAGTTAAGAGCATCAAAATAATTCTTACTCTATTATACAGACCATTGACGAGGTGTATTTGGATCACTTGAATGCCTCGAAGAGCGGTCGACCGCATTGTACGTTCATTGTGAAGACGAAGAAGCGTAGCTATAACCTGCAGGCGGCTTCCGATGCAGCGGCACGCATCTGGATCGATGCCATTATAACGGGCGCACAGGGAAACTTGGACTATTGATAAAAGCGCAAGGGAAACCCTGTGCGGCTTACCAAACACACTGAAATGGTTTTAGCTCAACTAAATTGTAAACTTGTAGATATGTAAGACAATTAAATATAGTCGTTAGGATAGCCTACATATATACTGTATGTAAAAAGAAAAACAACGGAAACAGAAACATAAAATACCAAGAAACTAGAAGCAACCAATTTTGGCAACTAACGAAATCCGAGATTTCAGTACTGGACCAAAGTGAAGAATGTATTTTTTATGCTTTTAATTTGTCATAATTTTAGTAAACTAAGCACTATATTTATATACAAAACATATATCATTCACACAGAAATACTATATACATATATATATCTATATATATATATATGTATGTGTATGTGTATGTGTGTGACAGACAGCCCAACGCATATAACGCAACCATTTCATCAACTACTTATATACAATATTTTTTATATACGTTAACCAAATGAATCCATCTGACTATGTAACTACTATTAAAGTTTCAATAAAAATTTGTATTTTTTTTTATAAAACTGCGCAATGCAACAAATACGTTGGAGAGTAGCAACTGTGGTAAACTCCTGCCCCAACCATGATTCAACAATTTGTGCTCAGGCAAACTGATAAAATGATAATCAAAAACTATTAACATAATTAAATTAGTTATGCAAATGTAAGGCGCTACGGCAAATAGCAAATAAAGAATCGTTTGTAAACCGATAATTGATTTTTATTACATTTTTCAAATAACATTTATATTTAACAAATATAAAGTGAGATATTCAGTTGATGAAAAAATTATTGTAAACTGCTTTAAATGCTGGCACAGATATTCGTTTATTTGCTCGCATATATATATATATTATATACATATATATCTAAAGGTTAAGTATTTTCATCTGTGAAACATTCAATGTCACATTTAGTTTTCACCTTCCTAGAAGCTGTCAATGCGCTGACGCTTTGGCTGTGCCTTGTCGATGCCCATATCGTCCTCATAGCGATCCAAATACTGATATAGCCAGCGCGCGAACTCATTCATGTACGGGTCCACACGGGAGATGACATTCAAATTGACCACAGCAGGCGGCGGACAGTTGCCAGCACCAAAGATGCTGCGCACGAAATTCTCGCAGTGGAATATGGCAACGGCCACATCGGCTTCCAGCACAAGCAGTCGCATGGACAGCTTGGCAATCGATTCAGCAAATTGCTTTAGCACAACATAAGTCTTGCTGCTGAATGCAGCTGCAAGCGCAACAGAGACAAATGCAGACATAACGAGAAAGAGAGGGAGAGAGAGAGAGAATGAGTACCATGAATCGAAATGAAATGCAAGATTCGCTCACTTGGCTGCTCGATGCGCGAGACAACATAGTATTTTTGCAGCAATTGTTCCGCCTCGCCCGTGAAGGCCACCTGGCGCTGATGGAGGAAGCTGACCATTGTTCTGATATCATCTTTGGGTATATTGAATACATCGTGTATTTCGTCTTGGACATCCCTTTGATGCTGGCCGAGCACAAAGTCCCACAACGTATTATTCGCCTGCGCATCCATGTACACAGGCAGGCCAAAGATGCTGAAGCGAGATAATTGATAGATATATATATATATATATTGACTAATTCAGCTACTCACGGACACAGCTTGGCGAACGCCGTTGACTGGTTGGCTGCGTTTTCCGGCTGCCAATACGTCCAAATGGCCGCGTTGAGCGGCTGCTCGCTCTGTAGCTGCGGCACTGGAACGCTGCCATTCTCCATGCATTTCTCCAGCTCCTCGGTTTGGGCACTCGTCAACCGATTCCAGTCGCCGGCGTAGTACACGCCCTGTTGCGCCAACAGCAATGGGCTGGCCATTGCCCATTTGTAACGGGATGACAACGCCGTATGTTGTATGGGTTGCTGACCCCCTTCATGGGGCCCAATGAAACGGGGTGCCAGTTGCCCGATGTGGTGCAGCAGCAAATGGGCCATGTAGCTGTCGTTGCTGATGATGCACAACGAAATCGGCGCACGCATCTCGTCCAGCTCAAGGCTGGCCAGGCTGCTCAAGAGAGCCATTTTAAGGTAGACATAACACTCCATGGGTACACAGTCCTGGTTCAGCTGCGCACTCAGCGCATAGACAAAGGAATAGTCGGAGTATTTGGAGCAGATTAGACCATACAACTGTTTGATGCTCGGTGGCATAAAATTCAAATCAACCTCCACGTTGCGACGCTGTGGGCTGTCACATTTTACAAATATTATATGACGTGGCCCGGTTCTCCTCTCAGTCATCACGTTATTGGCACCCAATTTGACGGGCAAGTTAATATTGCCCGGTTCGAGGAATAGAAACGCTTCACTTTGCTGAGATTCCGGATCCATATCCAATAGTGTTCGACTATGCAACATATCAGTAGCGTCGGTGGGATCGCATATTGTCACGGAAATGGCGGTGGTGCTGCTGCTGCTGTTGCTGTTGGTGCTGGTGCTGGTGCTGCTGGTGCTGCTGTTGGTGCTGCTGCTGCTGCTGCTGCTGCTGCTGCTGCTGTTGGCGATGCTGCTGCTGTTGGCGATGCTGCTGCTGTTGATGGTACTGTACGCCGTCCCGATACCCGTGCTGGGGAGGCTGCTGAGCCGAAAAACCGACTGGTTGCCATTACCGGTTGGCGGCAGTTGCTGGCTGCGTGGGGCTGTAGAGCCGGCAGGAATTGGTGCGCTGCTCGATTGAGAGTAACTGGAAGATAGATTATATGTGGCTCTCGGGCCCTGGCTACTGGCAATTGACTGCGATTGCAATTGCGACTGTGGCAGTCCCTCGGCTGGCAGCGATACCAGCTCGAACAGCGCATGGGGCTTGAGTGTGCGATGAAAGCGCTGACGACGACGGCGCTCCTGCAGGCGTAAAAGAGTTAATAAAACAATTAGTGCATAATTAATTACTTACGCTGATCCTTGGCTCCCTAATATTCATCGGACTTTGACTAGGACAAAACTCGCTGGCATTCCAATTCAGCGTGCTGTGCGCAGCGATGCTTTCCAGCGGCAATTGGGACTGGGACTGCGATGGCAGTGAATTGGCGGCCAGTGCCTGCTGCAGCTCACGCATAAAGGACGCATCATTGTCATCAGGTTCGTTGCGTGAACGGTTAGGCTGCATCATCAGCTCGTCGGGGATATGCGACGGCAAGCCCGAATGTTCAATACGCGAACTCGGAGCCGGCGGTTGCTGCTCACGTTGCATGCGGCGCTCGTTGCGACGCCATTGGCGATTCGGTGGATGTACATTTTCTGCTCCAGATATAGAGCGAATGTTTGGTGTGGTGTGCACCACACTGCCCACCGGCAGTGAGAAAGACACATTCGGGCGTGGCGCAATTTGCATAAGTTGCGACTGTGATTCCTGCTGTCCAATTAAATGGTTGGAGCTAAATGCTGGTGGAGCCTCATTGACATTCATGACTAGCGATTGATGCTGTGCGGCAGCTGCCGGCGCACTAATACAGCCCTCAAATTGCGAAAGCCCCGAGGGCCGCAAAGGCGACGCCAATAGCTGAGATTGAACCATAGGCTGCTGTACAGACTTGAGCCATTTGTTAACCACTTGTTGCTTGTCGATCGAATGGGCCGACGATGAGTGACGAACATGAGAGCCACCGCCAACACGCTGACTAGTGGGCTGAGCAACTGGTAAAGTAGTTGGCGGCTCTGCTGGGGCAACGATCGGAAGTCGAATAGGCTTGGGCTTTTTACGAACGGCTCCAACAGCGGGGAAATCCTCATCGCACGGAGTAAAGCAAACGACATTATTATTATTCGCATTTTGATCGCTGGGCGCCTTGGCCCTGAAACGCCTGGAGTCACCAGAAATGGGGGCTTCAGTTGTGTGAAACGCGCTTAAGACGGGGCTGACGTTCGTCCTGAAGATAGAAACAATGAGTACACTTGTCTATGATTAAACAAAATATTATAGCCACTAACACAGCAGATGGGCTGCTCGTCGACTGCATCGAGTTTGGATGATCAACGTCGGCGCGCAAAAAGTCAATCAGCTGAACGGGCTGACGACGATTTTGTGTGGTCCTTAAACTCTTTTTAGATGGCATGCTTCGAACTGATACGTGGTAGCCGTGCCGCAGTAGTAGCCAGTGATCAGATAATTGGCGCCCAACTTCAGATCACAATCGTACGTATGAGCTGATGAGTGGAGAAAGCAGAGCGGCATTATTGTCTGTACCTTTAATGATGCTTTTCAGTGACACTTACCACGCACGCGCACCAGAATCGGCCGATAGATGCGATCCACAGTACGCGGAGTCTGCGCACAGGCTTTCGGCAAAACGGCAAGCAATCGATAATTCTCTGTTACGCGCAGCTTTTGGTATTCACTCATAGGACGCGAGCAGTTTGGGCACAATGGTGCTGGAGATTCAAGGCAGGACGAAAAACAAAACAAATATATATTAAATTTACAATCGTAGAATAATGCTAGAGATGATCTTAAATGTGAGACGTAGTGAGACTGAATGACCAGCAAATGTTTAACAAATATATTGTGTTCTACATACAGTAAACGCCCACTTTGATTAGCATCTGGACTACGGATACTCGTTTGTATTTGGAGCTTTTGAGCTATCGAATGGGCTTACTCACCATCAGTGGAGCTGGTTTGAATAGCATTTCTCATACAACCGCTGGCGCAGTACCAAATTGATTGCAGCCTAGAACAAACAACAAAATGATATACCCATTAAGATGAAGATTCAATAGCCCTGCTGATATTGAAGACAGATGCAAGCTTCCAGCTGGCCTAGATAAGACTCATTTGTGTAAATGTATAAGATTGTAAGTCTTTCAAGCAGGGCTATAAATGTTTGACAAGTAACTCACACTAATACCTCCGGCAGCGTGAGAGCGGACAAGATGCCATCCACCAAAGCCAAGCCCAGTGGGTACAGCCACTCTGATGGATCAAAGACTAAATTCGATTGTAGTGGCAAATCCAGCAGACGCCACTGCGTATGCAGCTGCGCGATGTCAATTGCCTTGAGAGAACTTTCGTTGGGGTTCGCGTTTGATTTTAGCAAGTCGCGTACCTGCCCGTAGACAGAGTACTTGATCGCCTCGGCAAACTGCAGAGGCTCGGCTACGGCCAGGTTCAGCAGCTGCGGTGCGTGATTCACCAGCTCTGCGTAGTTGAAATCTAGGCGCAGCAACAGCGGCCCCAGCGCGTCCTCCGGTTTACGCGTGCGCCTATAGTTGCTCAGAAAGCTGTTGACGGTGCCCTCAATCAATTTTCCTAGGTGCGTTGCTCGACAAAATTGCTGGACTAATGTTTGGCTGTGAAATCTATTTGTGCGTTTGATATGCGATCTTGTTGAACTTGTATCTAAAAGCTTAACAATACTTACTGGCTATGCCGTTCACTCGAAGTATTCTCGTTTGAAGTGTTATTTGTATTTGTACCAAGTGCAGTTTGTTGAGTTTGAATTACTGTATTCACATTGAACATTTTATCTAACCTAGCGCTTTAAGTCATTTGCAAAATTCAAATTTGCTTCTTTTACAAAATGGTAGCAAGATCTGGCAACCTTGTTGAGCTACCATTTTTCAGGGTTGTACAGACAGCTTTTTCAGTGTGATCGCAATCGTTATCGAGCCTCCACTTTGCAAATCAACGTTGCCAACTTTTTTAGCACCAAGCACAAATTACTGAAATCGGCTAACGTAAAAAACTGCTTCTTTTCAGCTCGTGACGTATTTGTGTTGGTACGTACAAAATTAAAAGATTTATTTATAAACTCTATAGCTATTAAAAAAAAGCGTTGTGTCCTATTATTATTTTTACACAGATTTATTTACTGAAGAATTCATGTGTATCTTTAGCTCCTGGCCACCCCACCTGTTTATTCAATGCACGCTTAAAATTGATCAAAACGCTTCTGTTTACATACAAATTTACATCAAACGTAAAGTATCAAGTTTTAATCGAACATTAAACAAACGGTATTTGTTATTTGTATATGTGTTGTTCATCCTTAACGGTTAGACTTGGCAACACGCTCCAATTCATCTTTCTTCTTGATGGCGTACGAGTTGGATGAACCCTGTAATAGAGATGTAACAGATAAGTTTAGATAATTAAACATTAAAAAGCATAGAGGGTTGTTAAACATTAGCTTAATTATTTGTTCTTCTACGTTTCTCGTGTGCATTGAGCTGAGTGTTGCCACAAGCACAAGGATAATAAAAGACATAATATTGATCTTGTCCAAAAGCGAGTCTGCAACATTATCCGATTGACATGATGCAGAATTAGACTGGACAGAATATATATATACGCATGTAAAATCCGAACAAATTGGATTAACCAGCATAGCGAATTGTTAAACATTAGCTTAATTATTTGTTCTTCTACGTTTCTCGTGTGCATTGAGCTGAGTGTTGCCACAAGCACAAGGATAATAAAAGACATAATATTGATCTTGTCCAAAAGCGAGTCTGCTACATTATCCGATTGACATGATGCAGAATTAGACTGGACATATTAAAGAATACATATGCATATGTTCATGTAAAAAGTAATCAAATGTAACGAACGTTACGGGGAAACACACAATTGATTGTTGCCTGCTTCTCAAAGAGCAACAAATGCCGAGTAGATCCTAATCTCGTCCACAAGCGAGGCGACACACTTTGGTCATACAATGCGAGGCATTAGAGTGGACGACTGATTTGCACAATAGTTGGTATATACCTATATATACATATAGCTTACCTTAGCGGCATTGATGAGCTCATCGGCCAAGCACTCAGCAATGGTCTTGATGTTCCTGAAGGCAGCCTCACGAGCACCAGTGCACAGAAGCCAGATAGCCTATAATGAATAAAGTTATTAAAATATTTCCAATTTATTAAAATAAAAGCATGAAAAATGTCTCTTCAGTTCATACGCCAAATGTCGGTTTATTACACATTGTGACGCTACGGATAAGATAGATGTTTGTTATAGCCGGACGTTATAAGAACGCAGTCTCCGCATTCGAACTGCGCGCCATCGTTGCTGGCCAAAATGAAGAATATTAAGAACAGCCAAGAAATGGACCTACCTGGTTGACACGACGCAAGGGCGACACATCCACAGCCTGGCGACGGACGGTACCGGCACGGCCAATACGCGTGGAGTCCTCACGAGGTCCAGAGTTGATGATAGCGCTCACCAAGATCTGCAGGCAAAACATAAATACACGTTAAACAGACTACACACATTATAATGAAAAGCTATTTCAAATATCTGTCTAGATTATTTCATGTAGTTTTAAGTTCCAAGAGAGCAAGAAGAGATTCAAATCTTCAGGCACTAGGATATTAAAACATTTTATTTAATATTAGTCCAATAAAAAAGATGCTCAGCACAGCATGGATTTTAAGCCGACTTGCATAGAGTTGGACTACAATACGAGTATTCTATACAGATGTATATGTAAGCTTCTAATGTTGATTTAGACTTTATTAAGGTTTGCATCTTTAAGCCAATGCCCTTAAGAGGAATAGTTAACCTTGGGGTTCAATGTAGTCCAATTGAATACCACAACAGCGTGCGAGTCACTGATGCGGTTTTAGTTGTGGACATAATGCAGTCTCTGATAAATATAGTATTAATGTGATTTTAAGTTCCAAAAGAGAGGGAAGAGAATCTGATCTTCAAGCACTAGGATATTAAGACCTCATTTAATATGCGTTCAATTAAGATAAGATGCTCAATACAGTGGTAAATTGCACTTGAATGGCATTGAGTTGGACCAACTTCGAACTGGTTTGGAACTCCTTGAGAATAGCTGTCGTTTTAAGTTCCAAGAGAGCAAGAAGAGATTTCAAATCTTCAGGCACTAGGATATTAGAACGTCATATTTAATATGAGTCCAATTAAAATTGATGCTTAGCACAGCATTGATTAGAAACTAGCTAGCATAGAGTAGGACTAGAGTGCATAATTCAATAATATTCTGTATAAAAGTTTCATATGTTGATTGTGACTTTATTAAGGTGTGCATCTTTAAGCCAATGCCCTTAAGAGGAATAGTTAACCATGGGGTTCACTGTAGTCCAATTGAATACCACACCAGCGTGCGAGTCACTGATGCGGTTTTAGTTGTGGACATAAGCCGATCTCTGACAAATGTGATAAAATTAATGTGGTTTTAAGTTCCAAGAGAGCGGGAAGAGATTTCAAATCTTCAAGCACTAGGATATTAAAACCTCATATTTAATATGAGTCCAATTAAAGATGCTCAAAAAACAATTAACAATAAGTCGCTTGGCATTGAGGAGGACTGAATAGTACTGCTTAATATATAGCCTGAATACTCGATTTGTTTTCATAGTTTGTATTTGTAGTTTCAAGTTCCAAGAGAGTAGGAAGAGTTGCGCTTCAAACACTAGGATATTGAAACATTTGTTTAGTCTGCGTGCGCATTCTACCTGTAGCCCGCGTGGTTTGTTTTTAGCATGGGCTCAGTTTAGCATGGCACGGTGTTTGGACTAAATCGTCTGTAGTGCACGATTTGCTTACCTGCAGTGGGTTCTCGCCAGTGAGCAAGTGAATGATCTCGAAAGAGTGCTTGACAATACGGCAGGCCATCAGCTTCTTGCCGTTGTTGCGGCCCTTCATCATCAGGGAGCAGGTCAGACGCTCAACAATGGGGCATTGTGCCTTGCGGAAACGCTTGGCGGCATAACGACCAGCCGAATGGGGCAGATAGCGTGCGAACTTCTCTTTCACTGAGATATAATCCTGCAGCGAGATATCGTTGACAGTCACATCATCGCAAGACCAGCGACCGAACAGTTTGATCTCTGGAAGCTCAGTGGTGGCGACCACATTTGTGTCGAGCACAGCTTCGGCAGCCTCCGTTTCCAATGGCGCCGGCTCCTCGAAGTTCTCGACAACGTTTTCAGCTACTTCGGCCATGCTGCAATGTAACCAAAATCCAAACAATATTATACGCTCATTCAGTTAAATTTGTGTACTTATTTGTTGTTGATTTTTGACTTTATTAAGGTTAATATCTTCAAGCCGATACCCTTAAGAGGAATAGTATATCATGGCGTATAATATAGTCCAGTTGAATACCACAACAACGTTCGTTTCACTGCTGCGGTTTTAGTTATGGACTTGAAAAAAAAAATTTAATAAAAATTGCCTGCATTTATATGCAAACACGTGTGGAGACGACGGTGGGCGCTCATACACATACACAGACACGCACACAAACAAAAAAAAACGGCACCGTTTTTAACCTCATTGTGCGTGGCCAAACGAAACCAACAACTTATTATCTTTTGCACAATGAATTTCACGAAGTTTTCGAGTGCAGCAGATCGCCGCTTTGTTTAATATCCATTTGCTTAAGTTTTTATGTTTATACACTTTTATTTTGACAAAAAAAATCTTACATTTTTCACAGAAGAAATCGGTGTACGATGTATGCGCAAAGGCGTACGCCTGAAAAAGAACATGTTGCGGCAGTGTGCGTCAATGCCACAAAAATTGGTTTCCGGCCAGAGCACAGGGTTGTGTTTTACATGCAGGTCTGCAATGAGCTTCCAAAACGATGAGCAATCGAATATAATGACTTAATCGCTTTAGTTTCGAAGAAATCAAATATGATTTTCATAAAACAACTTTTCTAACGCTATTGTTAAATTAAAGATATGAAGTGCTCTGTCTTTCGATCATATATAATTTCGATATGTACTATTTGCAGAAATGACTTCTATAAATGTAAAGATGCATGCAATATTATGAATACTTATTATTTTACATAATGTTAAGGTGTTAAGTACTATCTCTACAGCTGTTTTTCACTGTAATGTTATTAACTGCGTACTAAATACGAAAGCTTATACATGCATATCTATCGATATTTTGGTCGGCTCACGGCACGGCTCTAATAATAATTAAAGCAACTACAACAATATGATTGTTGTTTAAATACGCCGGAAAACGTACGTTCCTTAAATATTCGCAGGTATTTTAAGCCCAATAGACAGCATTTAATGTAAAGATGACAACTGACGAGAGTATTATGAAAGAGATGTTGGGTGAGTTTCGCTTTCTTACTCCAGCGTTTACCGTTTTTGTTTCTATTATTAAAATCCTCTTTTTCTACAACGCAATGCAGATCGTGCAACGAATCCAACAAAAGAGCGAGTCGATGAACTCGGCGTGCAAATGTTTTGCATTGTGGTCCGCAGTAACAGTCAACTGGTTAACAAGGCCCAAGCAATGATTGTGGAAAAGGTGCATTCGAGCAATGTGAACGAGGCGTTGCGAGCAATTGCGGTAAGTTTGACGCCCCGACTCGCACACACAAAGGTGTTCTCTGTTCCGCACACATACATGTACAACAATTTTGTGGCTTGCGATTATGACACAAGTTTTCGTTAGCTGTGTTCTTTTTAATAAAAACAAATTATAAAAAAAACCTTACATTTAGCTGCTGGAGGAATGCATGACCCAGTGCGGCGATGTATTTCAGGAGGAGGCCGCCAAATTCCGATTTCTGAATGAGCTAATACGTTTGGTGTTAAAGAAATACGATGGAGCCGATACGCCACTTGTGGTGAAACAGCGCATCATGGAGTGCCTGCTGCTGTGGACCACCGAGTTTCCACAACGTCAAAAGATTCGGGAGGCGTACGATATGCTGCGCAAGGAAGACGACATCGATCACAGCCAAACGGCCGCTGCACTGGCCAAGCGAGAGAGCGTGCTCAGCACGATTGACGAGGCCATGTTTGCCAAGCTGATCAAGAGCAAGGATACGGAGAACTACAAGCGCGCCAATCTGTTGCTGCAATATCGCATGGCACAGGAGGCGCGTCGTAATGATTTGCTTGCCCAGCATCGACTTGTGCTCATTGAGGCGCAGGAGGCCATGCAGCTGCTCAGTCAAATGCTAGACAACTATAATCCCGATGATTGTGATGTCAATGAGACCATTAGAGAGCTCTACAAGACTTGCAAGAAGCATAAGCCCATCTTTCAGCATTTGCCTGAGCTGTTGGGTGACTCGGATACCCAGCTAGTAGGCAAGTGCAGTGTACCTTAACAATATGTTATAAGTATATATTCACAATTTACCCTTGGCCATTCACAGAAGACACGCTGGAGACCAATAAAGCCTTGCTGGCGATTCTGGCACGATACAAGCAGCTTTTGCCGTCACCGGCCAAAAGCGCAGCTTCCGCTGTTCCACCTGCAGCCACAATTGCGACCACAAGCACATCTAAAGTAGCAGGTGCAGCAACGACTGCAACGGGCTCCAGCAATGCAACTTTGATCAACGAACTTCTGGGTGATTTACTGCTGGGTGGCGCCGAGCCCGAGACCACCGCGACTATTGCAACTAATACCCCAAAAAAGACAAATGTTTTGGAGGATCTCAGTGATATCTTTAGCAGCGCTCTGGCCGAGAGCGAGACCACAAAGGAGCAGTCGCAAAGAAGCTGTGACCAGTTTCAACTGGCTGGCATTGGCGACGTGCTAGCACCACAGGTTCTCAGTGCAACGAAAAAGGAAAGCAACGGCGCTACGGACAATGGCTGTGGCGCTGCGGATGTGGATGTCAAGCAGATTGGTGCCTTGCGCAAATTGCCCGAAATCGATATGCTGAGCGAAAAACTGTTCCAGCAGATACTGCCAGCAAAGGAGCGCATGAGCAGCTTTAAGCGTGATCCAGAGAAATTATCGCTCAACGATTTGGCGTGCGAGCGCAATAAGCTAAAGCCTGCAGAGAAGCCTGCTCCAGAGACTTTGGATGATGTACCATTGCTGAGCGCTGCACCTAGTCAGTCACATCGTCAACCTCGACTGGAACCTCAGTGGCAGCCGCCGCCGCCGCCCACAACGGTGGAGGAAAATAAAGAGGAGATTGTGGAAGCACCGCCAGCTGCCATAAAACAAGTAAAGCACCTTAGCGAAATCAATATAGAGCTAGACAATATTCAGGGCATTGGCGAGGAGCGTGTTATGTTGGACGACGACGATATGCTGTTGTGCCTCAATATTACGGGCGAGCGGCCCAGTTGCCATGTGTCCGTAATTGTGATATCGGCCCAAAACAAAAGCCGCCAGCCCGTCAAAGACTTTCAATTCGAGGCGAGCGTGAAAAAGGTGGGTGGAGCCGAACCAAATCGACTTATAGAAGAAAGCTTAGCTCATCCTGTGTCCTTCTCCACTTGCAGCCCTGTAAGGTGCGCCTTTTGCCAGCCACGGGCAACATTATGGCTGGGCACAAACCATTCCGCCCATCGCCGCCAATCAATCAAGTGATGTTGCTGCTGAATCCTACTGGCAAGCCGGTGGACGTCACATGCATTGTGGGCTACAGGCTAGGCGATGATCCGGATCCCATTAAGGAGTCAATTGTGGCACAAGGCATTCCCTACGTGGAGTGAATTCACTGCGAACGTCAATTGAAGAATCGTTTCCTATTCCTTTTCCTTTTGTATCGTATCGGTTTGGTTTCTGTTTTTGTGCTCCGACGGACCCCAGTCATTATGCTTTTTTCTGTCGCACCCAACCAAGCAAATTAATTATTCATTTCTGTATTTATATATTTTGTATTTTGTATGCCTATAAGGATTTTTTATTAAATTGCATTTCCTCATATATATAATATATACATATACATATACATATATATATATATTAGCAGTAGATTATATATAAAAAAATTTATGAAAAATGTCGCCACAAAAGCAAAAACGCATTTTTAGAGGTAGAACTCAAGTCAGTTCTGGTTTTTTCTTTGCCCTTCCAAATCTCGCCTCGGACCCGACTGTCTCCAAAAGGATTTACTCTCAAGTATCGCATTCTGAAGCATTGGGCTTCATCTTTAAATCGGTTCTTTGCTGTTCCTATTCAATATTATCAAGCATCAGCCAGAGTGGACGATGCACATGACTAATTTGTTGCTTCTCTGTTTGTATACCTATTTGTCTATTCTTTTACAGCTAGAGCTAAGGCTATGCTTATTAGTTAGTCGGCCACAATTTCATCCTTGAAGGACAGAGCCGTAATTGCCTTGGTATGGCCCGTGTAGTCGCGCACGCAGTTCTTCGTATGCAATTTCCAGAGACGGGCAATGCCATCGGAGGAGGCTGTGAATAGCCATTTGGAATCGGCGCTGAATGCAGCATCCCAGACCCAATAGTTTTTAATAGAGAGCTCGCGCCATTTGGTGAAGTCCTCCGTTTTCCAAATGCAGGCGGTGCCATCGCCCGATGTTGTTACGAGGAGACGCGAGTCGGGACTGAACTTGCAGCGAAGTATGGAACGGCTGTGTGCTTGGATTTTCTTTTTGGGACTCATTGTGCTCAAATGCTGGCTGGGACTGCTGCTCAGCTGCCAGATGTAGCAGTTGCCCTTGTTGTTGGCTGCGGCCATATAATGGCCATCTGGTGAAATGGCCACATCCTGTATTGAGGCATCCACCTCGGGCACCAGCTGCTCGTGCACCTCCGACTTTACGTCCCAGAGGTAGACGCCGCCATTTTGTGAGCCCATTGCAATTTCCACTTGATTGGGATGCAGACAGGCGGCATTCACGGGCGCCTGGCAATCGAAGACACGTGAACAATGGGGCGGTGCTGATATCATGTCCCAGATCCGCACACGATGATCCTCGCCGGCTGTGAACATCCAATTGCCATCCTCCTGAAAGCCGAGCCGTGTGACATTCTTTTGAACACCGTCGAAATTGATGACCGGCGCCGTGCAATTGGATTCTAAGTCATACAAACGTATACACTGATAGCCACATGCGGCTAGGCGTGTTTTATCCGGCGTACGGTCCAGTGCATTAACTTGCTGTTTGCGAAAAATATAAATTACATTTAAAATGCGTGGCTTCGCTTTCAGCTGTCCCTCACCGAAGTCTCCACAAAGCGCATGGTTTTAATGCAGTTGCCGGTGTGCGCCTGCCACACTTTGATGGTATGGTCGTAGCCGCCAGTGGCTAGTATAAGTTGTTCTTCCGTCGCTTCCATTGCAGCACACTTTGATTGTTATTGTTTGCTTAATTTTATCATTGCAATTGCCTTGCTTTAAAATTTATTAAGGAATTTGGATATTCTTACTAGAACTGCAAGCTATCGATAGAGCCTATCGGAGCTAGATATCATTTTATACCAGAGCTACTCCTCACTTAACAGTGACTCCACAGCTTAGCACTTAACAGAGTGTTATATATATTTGATATTTTGTTGGCTTCCAAATATCTTGAAGCGCGCCCAATTCATAAATATTTATAGAATATAATAAAATAATCATGTCAAATGCAATTTTTAAAGATATCATTTATTTTGTTGAAGATTAGAGCAGGCAAGAAATTTGCAATTAGACTCAATACTCTATAATTGCCAAACAAAATCGACTCTGAATATATGAACTGGCAGTGACTCTCAAACTGTGATGTATGGAAATATACATTTTTGCTCCTGTTTGATCGAGATTTGTTTATAGATGGATGATCTATAATTCAGTATAGAATCAGTGTAGAAAAAAGACAATTATTTTGTTTTTGTGTGTTTTTATAATAAATATGCTAAAGCTAATCGGCCATTCGATTTCTCTAGGTTCCCTATATTCGTATATGTATAAATATGTATATATCTATATAGATATATGTATGTGTATATTTAAAATAAACTCTGAAATCAGCGATTGACAATAAGTATTAAAATCTGCCACAACTCCTGTGCAAATGTTTTAACCTGACAGTACATACTATAACTATATTATGAGTAAACAAAAAAGTTGCACAAAAAAAAGTTAATAGCAATAAAGAATAGCATGGAAAAGATAAGCTTGGTACACACTATAGTTAAGAATGAGCTCTGTTTGTTTAGTTAAGTTAAGCCCTTAAAACAGTTTATCATTGTTAAAGTTGCCCGGAATTGTAAAAATCTAAATAGTTGCATAGAGGAAAAGAAATACATATACAAAAGGTGTGTGCACATTAGCTCCAGATTCAGTTCTTCTGCGTCGGGATTATGTCTCGAAGTACTTGTAGATAGCTGTTACATAGGACATGACCAGCGTCCAGTCAGGTCGCTCAATCTGACACATATCATTGATGTTCTGCAATGGGTTGTTCGATTAATAAACGATTGATCATGAATGAAGGTAATGCGAGTGACTCACCAGGGTGGTGCTGATGCCAACCGACTCGGCGGCGGCAAATGCTAGTGAAAAGTTGCGACGCTTGTTGGCCGGAGTGAGCGTGTCGTAGGGTATGCGATCCGGCAGATAGGAATGTAGAATGGCGCAGAATGCCAGCCCATCGTTCCACGATGAGCTGAAGTTCGTGATGTCAATGTTGCGATAGCCGACGGTTTTATTCTGGCACCACTTGAGCAGCGCATTGCGCTTGGAGCCACCGTTTTTAGCCAGCATATTGAGCGGATCCTTGCGTTCACCTGCAAGGCATACACATAATGTTAAGCCATTAACTAAACAACTATTTTGCAAATAACAATGTCGAATAGGCCAACTTAGTATACAAATTAAACAAATATATATTTAAATCTATGTTTCTTTGATAATCATGATCTATCTATCTATCTATCTTGAGTCATTTACCACTGATAACGGATTTTGAGACATTGCCAAAGCTGAGGCTGCTCACTAGGGCGCTATTTGGCGTCTGCACTGGCGTTGTCAGGCTGGGCGGCTGCTGTTGCAGGCTGCTGGGCGTGTTTGGTGTGGATGGCTGCGTCGATGATGATGATGTTACACTTGTCATTGACTGTTGCGACAGTTGATGCTGCAGTTGCGGCGGCTGCTGCTGCTGCTGCTGCAGTTGTTGCTGTGTTGCTTTGGTAGTGTTAGCTGATGTTGCTGCTGCTGTTGCTGTTGCTGCTGTGGATGGTATCGTTGTGGCTGCAGCAACTGCTGCTGCTGTGTTCACATTTACATGCAGATTGCTGCTCTGTAGCACAGGTAGACGAAGCTGTGCACAAATGTTCAACTGATTAGGCAAGGCACAGCATTTCCAATTTCAATTGCAACTTACGCTCTCGTGCCAGTCACTTGATCCGGGCAGTATAATGGGCGTATTGCCCGCCTCGGGAGTGCCGCTGTTTAGACTCGACGTCGAGCTATAATGCGACTCCGTCTCATCCGTTTTGCCTTGCTGTAAAACGATAATGATGAGAGAAGCATTAGCAAACAATGGCTGCACATTGTGTGTATTGAGCATCAATTCTACCTGTTTGTTGTTTTCGATACTCTCGATAAGTGTTTTGACAGAGAGCCGCGAGTCCTGTCGACTAAAGCTGAGTTTGCTGCGGCGGGATGCCATCTCCTGCTGCACAGATGTCAGCACCGATTGCTGCGTTTCTGTCTGCTGCAATTCTGTGAAGGTTGCGAGGTTCAGAGGGTTAGCCACAAATCGCAGATGAAAAACTCTCGTCGGTTACTTACGCTGTTTGGTTAATTTGTCCAGCTGCTGTTCGAGCAGTCGGATCTTTTCCTTTTGCGTCTTGTTATCGAGCACCAGCTGCTCGCGTGCGCTGAGCGCCTCAGTCTTGAAATCGTTGGCAACACGCACAGTCATTAGGAGATCCGCCTGGAACTGTTGCCATTCATCAGCGTCGCGTTTGCGCAGCTGCGTCTCCTTTTCCAGGCGGGATTCACTATCGGCCAGCTGCAACTCCACATCGCCCAAATGCCGCTGCGTTGCGGTCAGCAGCTGCTGCAGCTGCGCCTTATCGTCCTGATGACATTTGCACTGCACATGCAGCTCATTGATACGCTCCTCCAGTGTCTGACAATCGCCGGCTAGTTTATCCTTCTCAGATTGCAGCTGCTCCAGCTGATACTCCAGATGCGAGACAGCGCACTTGGCATTGTTTTTGGCTACCTTGCATTCCTCGGTGAGGCCAGCGAGCTGTTCGCGCAAACGCCGCAATTCTGCCTGGCTGCGCGACCACTGATCCTGTAGCTCGGCCAACCGCTCCTCGAGGGCATCCTTCTCCCGACGCGCCGCGTCGAGCACATCGCTTAGATCAGTCTTGTCTCCACGTGCGAGATCAGCTTCCAGCTCTTCGATCTTGGAGCGTGCGTTCTCCAAAAGCGTGCTCAGCCTGCTCATCTCAATGGCACGCTGTGAGATCTCCTCCTTGGCCGATGAAAGTTGCGCTTCGCTCTGCTTGCGCTCGGCATTGACCGCATCCAGCTGCGAATCGAGCAGAGCGTTGCGTTCACGCAGTCGCTGCTGCTCCAATTGAGCGGTGTCGCGCGACTGCCGCAGTTCGCCGAGCTCAGCGTTGAGCTCCTCCTGCTTGAGCATGAGCGCCTCACGCTCCTCCTGCGTCGTCTCTATCAAATCGAGCAACTTCTTCTCGCGCTCCGTGGTGGACGCCTCGGCCTGCTTTGTGTCACGCAGCAACAGTTCCTGCAGCGTGTTGATCTGTGTACGCGACTCATTCAGCATTTCCGTTTGGCGACACAGCGATTGGAAGAGCACATCCTTCTCATCGGCCAAACGTTCGTTCTCTGTTTGTGTGTCACTCAGCTGCGCCTGCAGGTCGGCCAATTCCTGTAGCGTTGCCTGCAACTCTTCATTTGTCGAGTAGTGCGTCTCCTCCATCTGTATGATCTTGTCCTGCAGACATGCTACTGAAATCTCACTCGACGACGAGTGTTTGTCCCAGTCCGGCGTGAGACATGGCGTTCCATCGTGCGCAGCTTCGTTCAACTATAGAATGCAAGTGAGACTGTTACTTATGCCATCGATATTTATACATATATATATATATATATATATATATATATATATATATATATATATATATATTGTACCTACATTGGGCAGTGCTATGGAGGCGGGCGCCGAGCTGTGCAAGCGTTGCGACTCTTGAATGATCTGATGCTTCTCCGCGTCCGACAGTGGCGAATTGACGACGTCCCGCAACCGATTGCGTAAAGACTCATTTTCATATTTCAAATTGCCAATCTCCATTTGTGTTTTCTCTAGTTGATTCTATAAGCAAAAAGTGTGAGACAGTCGTGAATTTATGAGTATTATTTTGATTCGATTTCCTAAACATGCCTAACGCTAAGCACAAATTGTATATGAACTGAGAGAAATACGACTCAAACCTGATACGAAAACAACTACGCCTGCTTTGCTGGCCTGATTTTCTAATGCGAACAATGTTCAATTATTGTTTTTCAGGTGCACGTATACTTTTGGCAGAGACTGTTTTGGGCGTTCGCTGAGCGACGATTTCTCAATTAAAGGAACATATTGAATATCAAGAAATTGGCTAAAGTAACGAAGCGCAACGCAACGCAGTGCGCTGTCTGTCGACCAGAATCCGATGCAGCTAACAACAACAACAACAGCAGCAACATCAACAATTGTTAGACAATAATTGACAGCTTTTTGTGTGGTTAGTTGACGAACAAACCGACAAGCCGTCTGGAACTAGCTACAGCGAGAAGACCTGCTTTTAATTATTCATGCTGCTTGACAAGAGACGGACAGAGATGTGGCCAATATAGCTTCGTGGCATATGTTTGCTTAATACAATTAATTCTTTTTATCCTGAGCATCTCTTAAGTCTAGCTAGGCTTTGAGTTTCGAGCCTGATTGCTTCTGAAGTGCTTTGCCTTTTGATTTTACCTGCATCTTGAGCAGATCGCCCCTCAGTTTGGTCACCTCGCTTTGGTATGGCAGCAGCTCTGTGATGCGCGTCTCCAGTTGCAGTTGCTCACGTCCCATTCGTTCCAGCTGTATGTGCAGCTCCTGCATTTTGTTGTTAGCCTGAAAATGTTTAAGCAATATATTTATATTTTGATCAACAATTGTTGCTTCACGTAACGCACCTCTAACAGTTGCTGTTGTTGTTGTTCGTTGTTGATGAGCTGCTGCTGCTGCTGCTGCTGTTGTTGTTGTTGCTGCTGCTGCTGCTGGTAGCTGCTTGCCGCAACGGCTGCAACAGCAACAGCTGCTGCTGCGGCTGGGAAGGCTTTGTTGACAGCAGTGTTGTGGCTGCCGCTGCTGTTGCCACTGACTGCGGCGCTTGTTGCTGTTGTTGTTGTTGCGGCTGCTGCTAATTGCTGGTAAAAATCAGCAGCGGCAGCGGCAGCAGCGCCGCCATCTTGCAACGCGGCCAATGCGCTGTTGCTGCTATTGTTGTTATTATTGCTGTGACTGCTGTTGCTGTTGTTTGGTGTTGGTGTTGGCGTCGGCACAGCAGCAATGGACGTCATCGGTTGATGTTGCTGTTGCTGTTGTTGTTGTTGCTGCCGCTGTTGCTCTAATTGCTGCTGTTGTGGCAATTGCTTTGGCTGCTTTTGTCCCTTAAATTTGGACTTTTTCTGCGGCAGCGTGTTGCTCAGCTGCTGTTGCGCCTGGCGTCGCTGCTGCTGCTGTTGCTGCTGTTGTGTGGTCAACAGCAACGCAGCCTCGTCACCCACATCGACGCCGCGTTCGTAGGTCGCCTCGTGATTTGAATAAAATTTTGTTGTTGTCGCAGAGTTGTTTAGTTGCTGCTGCTGCTGCTGCTGTTGTTGTTGTTGTTGCTGTTGCTGTGGTTGCTCATGCGCAGTGTTCAGGGATGTGCTGGACTGCGATTTCTGTCGATTGTTGTTCGAATTCTGCTGCTGTTGCTTGTGCGATGAGTTGTTGGAGGAGGCAGAACTCGAGGTTCCTTGTCCTCTGCGGAATAATGATTTTAATTTAATCATCTTGTTGTATTATTAACTAGACGTTGTCGTTGTCGTTTGGTTTGTGTTGTTGGTGGTTGTGCAAAACGTTAATCATTAACTTTCAACTTTGATTGAAATTTGTTATTTCTGCTGCTTTTTCTTTTTCAATTTATTTATTTATTTATCGTTGCACTTGAAATTTGGCAACGTCGGCGTCGTCGTCGTTCGTTTATTATCGTTCTTTAAATGAGTCGTTATCGCGCTTTATCTGCTGTTATCACATGGTTAAGTCAGTTTTAACACTCTGCTCAGTTAGTTATGTGTGCGTGAGTGTGTGTGCGCCTTAGCCGATGTCAGTTAGAGAAGCAGGAGAAGAAAGTAAAATATCTACAAGCCATATTCACAGCTAATGCAATGCAAGTGAAGGCGAAAACCAAACGATGAATGAAAGTTCAAAGCAGATGCTAATAAAACAGCGCACAACTGTTGCATGCCAACTAAAAACAATAACTCGTTTCAGTTGTTGGTGCTGCTGCTGCTGCTGACTCTTTTGACAATCACATGCATTGTTGTTATTGTTAAGCTGCGCTCGCTCTCAGTGTGTGCAAGAAATTTGTGAGTGGGGGAGCAGACAAGATTGACTAAGCGAAAGGGAGATAGAGAGAGCGCGTAACAGCGCACTGTTATGTTAAATAACAGCGGTCGAGTCAGCACTAAGATAAACACAAACTAAAATCACGGCCACATCATTTATATGCAATTAACAATTATTTGCAATTGAAATTCGAATCACAAATGGGACTCCAACTGCATACGTTGGCTGACGTTTAGCTAAATGCTCAAATGTATCTATTTATATGCATGGGTGTGAGTATATTTGCTCATGTGGTTCAGTTTTCATTGTCATCAATGTGGCCAGCGTGTTGATTACTCATCTAGTGAATCGAGAACTTGAAATGTGCAATAAGATGGGGAATTACTACATATAATCTACGCGTTTCACACACACACACACATGCATGCATATATATGCATCATAAAAACTGCCTCTTGCCCGTTTATGGCCGGCCGGCCCAATGGTAGCCATTATTCAAGATTTTGTAAGCTAAGGTTGAGCAAAGAGTTGTACAACATTCAACGCTCCCATTGGATCGTGACGTCACGTTATCAAATCAGATCATTTTATATATTTGTTCAAATATAATGTTCAATCAAATGAAATATTGGATAATTTTTAATATTTTTTGGGAAATTTCTTTCAATTTAAGAATCGTTTTTCGTTAATTTTTTTTGTGCTGCCCTAGCAGCCGTGACGTAGCATCTAAGCACTTTTGCCGTGACATCTCTTTATTCGAAATCTGTTGCTGCCCACACGATATACGCAAAGTTGTGTTTATTTTGTTTAAAGGCTTTCAAGTTTTGACGACACAGCGACATTTAAATTGAAACACAAACATAAAAACAAATGCAAAATATATGACATCATGCACGCAAATCTGATTTATGTGTTGGGCTGTCGCAATTTCGTTAATTACTGACAACATGCGAGTTTAATCAGGTGCGTGGGTCAATTAGACGAGTGTAGAAATTGTTATACTTATGAGCATGTTTGTCTTAATGCTGTTGTGTGAGTGGCTTTGGTTTATCTATCTGTTTGCACAGCGATAAGTGCCATAGTCATTAGATAATTACAAATTACCACGGAAAAAGTCGCAGAACTAAGCTCGTGAACTCATTTGGCGTTTGAATGCTAATTAATAATAATAATAATTGAATATGTATAACACGCGCGCCCATTTAGCACACATTTTGCAACACTGCACATGTAGCAGCAGGAGACAGAGTGCAGACTACAAACAGGATGCAAACGTATTGGAGTGTGTGCGTATATTTTACAAAAAAAAAAAAGAAAAGAAAAACAATACAAATATAACTGTTACTGCGGCAGCCACTGAAAACGGTCACTGTAATGAGAAACGGCTGACGAGAGTAAATTAAAAAGAAACTACAGCACTTGAAGAATGTCATGCGTGTAATTCACACAGAAGAACAAAAAAGCTGCAGAGCAGCTTAAGCCGTCGCAACCGCTTAACAATGAATTGAACACACACATATACACACAAATACTACAGAGCCAAGCATGGAGACACGTACACACGCTCTGGATTTCGATATGTATGCACACACACAAATTTGTATATATGCGCCTTTAATTGTTTGCAACAAATAACTGTAAAAGGGCCATGATTAACACACACACATGTATATATATATATATATATATACGCATAAAGCATACCAAAGCAAAGTGCTAGTCATGTAAATAACTTAGAACGTAAGAACTAGAAAAAAAACAAACAAAAATAAAAGACAAGAGAATAAAAACAGCGCGCACGGAAAAAGAGCTGAGAAACTGACAACAAACGCGAACGCGACGCGACGCGCGTTTTCTGAACGAATCTACTGTCAGCAGTGTGACCGTAGTTGCGGAACGCAAAATGTTTGATTCGGCGCGCGCGTCTGTTAACAACAGACCTATGTTATGCATTTAGATAACAGCGCATGCGTAGCCCGATGTTCAATACTATTTGCAAACGTATTTTACAACACTTATAAGAAACGCGCGAAGTCATAAAAACGATCAAAAATTGAAAAACAAATAAGCAAGCTTTCTATCAAATTTCAAATTTATAATGTGTTGAAAAAATGATAGTTGAATTTTCAGTTTAAAGCAAAATCTAAACAGTTCGGTTCTTCAAATATTTCGTGATTTATTTTTTTTGTCGTCATATTTTTATAAATCTGTGCAAGCAACAATTAGGGGCACAGTACGTGTTTATTTTTTTCTGCTGTCCCGTGTGGCGAAATATTTCCTCGAGTTAGATCCAAATTATGTCGTTCTTTAAGAATATGTTAAACGGCAATGTTAAGCGCAGCCCTATACCAGATGAAAAGACGAAAGAAAAAGAAATTGACATGCCAACGACAGATATATTCGAGGGGGGACACAAGCTGACGGCACTCGAAAACATTGGATCATCTCTGACCACATTGTGGAGCAGTTGCGGCCTTAATGTGGTTTCCAGCAGTAATGACAGCCTCAGCTCTGAGCCAGAACGTAGGTTTGCCCATGTCAATAGCATTGAACAGACTAAGCTTATACGTATTTTTAACATAGAAAAAAACATTCCAAACACTTCAAATGAAATTGCGAGCGCAAATGCTGAAGACACAACTCTACGCTCCTCATATTAGTTGTCCACTAAACGGAGCGCAGATCTGGTATATTGAACCAACATCATTCAATCCACAAATCATGCCACTTTAAAGCAAATCAAAACAAACACAACCCAAAAAGTAACCATATACAAATGTATATAAAGAATGCAAATTTCATAAATAAATAATGTGATTATTATAAATAAATATATATATATATATATATCTACATATATATATATTTATATATATATATATATATATATATATATACATATGCTCAATTTTCGTAATATAAAATCTCAAATCTGTTCAGAAGTACAATTTACATAGAGAACTTGAAATATCTTAAATTATAATAATCGACTGATCTCTCAAATGGATATAAAAACAGCTAACAATTTAGCCTTGTTAAAAAAATTTATTTGGAAACAATTTTTTTTTTCACTTACATTTATTTAATGAACCGATCCTATTATTTTTATATAATATATCTATCAATCTATGTATGGGGCATAGAGGACTTGAAAAATTCCAACTCTGAAAGTTAGCTACCACGCATATATATTGGAAAATTTATATATTTGTTTTTTAAAATATATGATCTTGGCGATTCTATGGAATATATAGGTAGATTTCCATTTAGTTTAATCTATAGAGAGTGAGAATAGCTCATTTAATTTTGAAAATTTTGTAATGTAATTTTTTTCCGATTTGCCTAAATTTATAATGGGAAATATTTAGGCAGACAAACCGAGTATGCCCTTCTCAATGCGTGAACGAGTATTAAAAAAGGTGCTGGAGGGGGAGGGGCGTATATCTTTGTATCGATTACACAATGTCGGCTCACTCAGGGGACGATTTGAGAGTTTCCCAGGCGCTAATGATCTGCCGGTCCCTCTGGGCCAATCAACCTGTCTCCATTGATGACAGTTCAGTTTCATTTTATTTCATACATCATATCACATACAATATATATATCTGTATTCCCTTTTCTTTCGTATTCTTTGGCATTTAGCGGAGCGAGCAGACGGTCGCAATCAACAATGCGCTCAGGTAGTAGTAGATACGGTAGATTACTCGGGTTCCATTCTGATGTCTTATTTTTTACATCATCTCTTTGGACCGAATTGTTTAGACCCGATTGCTTCTGTTGCGTGCGCTTATCGAGCTGAGAAAGCGAGCGAATCGAGGTAGCCAGCGGAAAGGTGGGGCACCGGAACCGCAAAAGCCACAAACCGCGTCGGCACTGTGCGGTATTTATTTTTGCTTCTTTCTTCTATTTTTTTTATTGTTTAAGTTTCGGTTTTTGGTCAGCCAGCCGGCCAGCTAACTGGCCAGTCCGACGACTCGTCGAGGTCTATGACCATCCGCAAAACAAATGTCGCTTATCGCGTCGCTTAGAGGCGTCGTCTGGTACCCCCACCGGCAGTGGGTGCCCCCGCACCCTTTTGCACCTGTGATCCGCGTTAACGGATCGCATTACGTTTGGCAGCGGCAGCGGCACCTGAGAAACCCAGTGGGCAGTTAACTAGGCAGACAGTCAGGCAGTCCGCCAGTCGGCAAGTCAGCGAGCATGACATAAGATTATTAAAGAAATAAAAAAACAGATAGATGCGCAGGGCATGTACGACTGCTAGATACTCTGTGTACACGTCGATGAATGTACTATAAAATGTATCTCTTGGGTAAATACTTTTAGAACATATCTATTAAATGATAGAAATCTTAAGCTGATGAAATCTTATTTGAGAGCTTTATATTAGAGCCGATATTTTCACAGGATTTTCTATCAAAATTGTAATGCAAGAAAGTCAATTTCTGACGCTTTATAACTGGTTTTTGGTTTCAAAACTAAAAAAGAAGAAAAAAGGAATTGTTTCAGTTGTTACGTCTCGATTTATGGTCGAAAAAAACTTGAGCTTCAGGCATTTTCTTTACGTTTCTTCTCCCATTTACAGACCCATTTGTCCCGTTTAATGGGTATACAAAAAACGCTAACCCAGAAGTCGCTTTGAGCGTCGATCCAGTCTATGGTCTGTAAGCGTTAACTTGTGTTTTTCTCGTGGTTTATTTGTTGCTTCGTCGTAGTACCTAGGTCTATGCTGTGTAAGGCTTTCCTGCGCGAACGGTGCTCTACCCGTTTGGAGTGTACGAAAAAGGGCAGCCGATTATGCATCTATAATTAGCTGTCTAATTATGCAATTACAAATTCTGATCTAACAGAGAATTACGATTTTTATATATAATTTGTAGTTATAGAGCTGTGCTTAGATCACGATTAAACGTAATCATTAACATTAATTGATCAATTACAAAATCAATTTATAATTTAAATATATTTCAAATATTTATAATAATGTAATTTCGTATTTAATATTTAATGATTTCCAATAAAATACATTTAGCAATGTCAGTTAACGGGCATCGATAATTGATGTTAACTATGCCGTTAGCTTGATTAAACACATCGTTTAGTATTGTTAATATCATGTTTATCTAAACAGTTGCCAATTAATGGCAGCGTAGGGTGCCTAGCTATTCGATGCTCCATTCAATATCAATTCATGCCTTTTCTCCTCCTGCTCCACCCGTTCCAATTCCCCATTCCAGTTTGCATGCTCGAAATATGCTCTGTTGACATGTGTGTTTATGTTTGTGTGAGTTTGTCGCACGCTTTGTTCGCATTTCTACCATATGCTAAACATTTCGCGGCGCTTGTATAACGCTCTTTTATTATTCGATTGTAAAAAACGAATTTATAATCCGTTTTCCTTTCGTTTCTCGATAGAAAAATGACAACGAAATTTATGTATTTTTAGAAGAAAAAAGGTTTCAGTTTTACTCCAGCTATTAAGGTAAAAATAGAAACTAACGTTTTTTTCTTTCGTAGTCTGTCGTCTAGCTCTTGTTGTTGTTATTGTAAGTTGTTATTGTTGAATTTCTAAACAAATTTCTGTTTAATATTTATACATAGCCAGTTAATGATTTACGTTTTGCTTTCTTAGTGTGTTTGTTGTGGTTATATTGTGTCTTAGAATTGGAAAGTGAACTTTACAAAAATTTCACTCAGACTTTATAATTAATGAGTTTTTAATTATCTTCAAAGTTCGCCAGCCAGAGATGGTGAACGAAGATAGGCTATAAATTGTAATAATTGTTCAACACTTACCCGCAAGAGATGCAATGCAAGAGGCAGCTGCAATCAACAGTAATAATCAATCAACGGTACATTTAACATACACATATGTACAATGTATATACATATGTGTATGTGTGTTTTGTGTGTGCACGTATGAGTTTTCTTTAGTAGCTTTGCCAATACACTTAAATGCCGTTAGACGACCACGTTGTTTCACACTCTCTCTCCTGCAATCACAATATAAAATTAAAGAGATAGCAAGCCACATAAAAAAAACACAAATCCTATGCTTATACAAATACACTAGGAAATATATAAAAAAATATTTTAAAAAAATACACATTTATGTTTGGAACACAGCTGCTATTGCAGCAGCGGCGATGACTGCGACTGCGACGTCGGCAGCGAAGCGCACGTTAATTGCATTAGAAATTCGTATGCGTGTCGGGAATGAAGCCTTGCAAGACCTCAAATTTAAAAAAAATAGAAACCAACTAATTAGCAATTATTTGCGGCTGGAGCTTATTTTAAGCATTTCTTTGGCACAACAATTCCAATTAGACAAGAGCAGCGCAAATGCCATTTATTATTGTTGTTTGTCTGTTAGTCCCGTTATTTCTCATACACATAAACACACACACGGCATTGGCATAGCACAAAGAAATGAAGAGGAGGCTGAGAGGCAGACTTTGTGACCTCGACTTCATCTCCGACTGCAGTGCACGCTTGATAGCCAATTAATATTCATTAAATAGATTCCGAAGATGATGTTGTTCTTGTTTTATTTATAGACGAAATGCATCGCGACGTACAAATAATAGGTCAGTATTGACAGCAACTGTTATAAAGCTTATAAAATGAACTATTTAAAACACATTCACGAGCGCTTATATTTACTTTTATTTAAAGATTATTGTTCCTATAATTTGTATGTTTATTGCTGCTCGCGTGGTAGCAGCATTGTCTTTGGTTGTTTGTTTGCTGCAGCGGCGTCTGTTTCTGTTCGCTGTCAGTGTGACCGCTTTTAATTTACGTAAAAATACCAATATAGTTCATATTTAGACAATTTTTTTCAAATTTATTTTGCAACAATAAACAGAAAAAAAACATATTAGGTAAATTACCAATTAAGTTATCTGCTCAGTTCAGTCCTTCACATGCTCAACGGCTTTTGAGTCGAATGGTATTTCATCAACTTTAGAAAATCCTGAAAAACGTATAATTTTGCCGGTGCCTTCCACTCGAATATGTTTAGCAAATTGTTGAGACGGTGATAGGGCCATATCCTCCTCCGATTTGTAGCCATAATATTGTGCCCAATCGTTGCGGCCAGTGTAGACCATATAGCATACCATTCCGAACGCCTGCCAGGCTAGGATTGCATAGCCAATGCTCAAGCGCCGCTTCCACATATCGGCACGTTGCTCTGGTATCGGATTTGTGTGCCGGCGCACAAAGCGACGGAGCCATTTCATTTGAAATAACGCCATGTTTTAGGTTTTACGTTTCTTATATAAAATTTTTTATCTTCAGTTTACCAACACGATACTCAAAATTATAAAATAGAAGAAAAACAGCAATCAGCTGTTCGACGATAGAGATGAGCGATGCTCTAACTGTTAGAGTAGCCAATGTAAGCAACACGAATGACAGTGCAGTCATAAGCAAGTAATATTGATCCATTTTTTATAAAAATTCATGATTTTGAACTATTTTCTCAAAAATATTTATTATAGCTGTTTCATTGTATATATTTGTCTGTATGTTTTGTGCTCATCTACAGGCTTAGTTTACCGCCAATTGTCCAGGGTAGTCAACTTTATTAAAGTGTCATCAGGATTAGAGCAAGCTCATCAAAAATAGCAAAACACAAAAAAAAACATGTTTGAATTATTGATGAAAATCGATGTGTCTACATAAAGCAATTGTTATGAAATAATCTATATAATATATATCTCAATATAAAACGATTTGAATTTACATTAGTTGACCATCTGATTGGTATCCAATATCAAAAAAGGTGGCAACTCCTTCAAGAAAACGCTGATTGAATGTTGTTTTTGTTATAACATAACATTAAAAAGAACAACAACTCCATTTTTAATTTCAATTTATCAAGCGACAACTTGACTTACATACGTTTCATTTAACCAAGCAACAAGTGAGTAAATTCGTAATACCATATTCTATATACAAATGTTGTAAAGTAGGCCTAAATGATATTTTTATATTGTCAAACAGAAAGGAAACATTTTTTTAGCCATTTGCTGCCAATCTGTAAGATGCCTACTGCGCAGCAGACGTCTCAGCAGCAGCAGCAGCAACAGCAGCAGCACCAGCAACTGAGCAACGATGAGAGCAATGGAGTTAACTCCGAACTGAAAGCTGAAGAAGATAACATGCCAAATTTGTCAACACTATCGCTGGATGAGCTGAAGCAGCTTGATCGGGATCCTGAATTTTTCGATGATTTCATTGAGGAAATGTCAGTGGTACAACATTTAAATGAGGAACTTGATTCCATGATGAATCAAGTGGAGAACATATCACGTATGTTAGCGTCTGAATCCATATAAAACTTACCTAATCAAAACCTTATCCAATTTACAGGTGAAAATGAAAGCAAGGGCACACATCTTGTTGAATTAAAACGACGGCTTAGCGACGATTATACGGCACTTAAGACGCTCGGTGAAAAATGCGATCTACTAAATAAAAAGTACTTAAAGAAATCGGAAGAATATGCCCCGCAACACATTCGAGTAAATTGATCATAGATTTGAAATAATGTTTCCCGATTGTAATCAAACGTTTTCCATGCAGGAACTTCTGCAAATAGCCGCATCAAATGCGGACGGTGATTGCGATCGCCATGTCGAGCATTTTCTGAATGGCAAAATCGATGTTCAGACCTTTCTTAACACTTATCAGAGCTCCAAAAAAATTAGCGCAGAGCGCAAGGCCAAGGAGGAACGACTGGGTAGCCAGCTAACTGCATTGGAGCGTGCAGGTATATAAGGAGATGTTGGAAGATTTAACTATACTAACTCTCTCCCTCTACTTGAGTGATCGCCTTACTCGTTATTGTTTTACTGTTTGGTTCATTACAAAGCCGCAATATATATACATATATGGAGATCAAGGAAATAGCAATGCATTTTAGAACTTGATCGCTTGAGAAATGTGTAAAATCTAGTTATATTTATATATACATAATTAGTCATTAATAGGAGTTAAGTCGTTAGGGCAATCAAATTATGGTTAGTTGTATTTTACTATAAAATTTGTGTAATAATTGTATCGTAATTGTCGATTGTGTGCGACTGTCCAAATAATTAATTATCCAAAAGAATATGCATGCATGTACCAAGGAATTATAGCGTGTATGACTTAAATATATTTACAAACATTCAAATTTAAGCTAAATGTGTATTCAGATTGTATTAGGTTTTCAAGAAGTTAACCAACCATTGTGTATCAAGGTTTATATATATATATATATATATATATATATATATATATTCGATTGTGTTTTTGACATATTGAGATAAATGTGTATACGGATAAAATGTAATATACTGTAGTTATTTATAAAAATTTGTCATTTTTTTCTCTAAAAAAAAACACCAATTTTCAACATTCTGCCGCCAATTCTCGCCTGGTTGTGCGCATTTTATTGTATGGCAACGCTGTTTTATACGTATCGATAACACGCTAATCAAGATTTAACTAACACTGTAACATTGAACAGTGCTAATAAACGTCAGCATTCTACATAGTATTCCCGCCAATATATGTTTACATACGCATAATACAAAATTTGGGCTGTACCCATTGTGAACATAACAAAGATTTATTAAATCGGATAAAATAATTATTAAGCATGAGAAAATGCATACTTTGCCGCTTAGCCGCAGTCGATGAGTTACGGCTAGGCAAACTATACCTTCGTGGAGAGATTGCAGTCCATCAAAACTGTTTAGTATGTATGAACGAAAAGCCAAACACCTAAAATATTTACAAATAAATCAATTACAGTACTTGAGCTCGAATCTAGTGCAACGGGGCAATGGCCGCAATGGTATTCTGAACTTTACATATAACGACATTCTAGCTGAATCGGAACGCACCAAATATTTGGTAAGGGTTTTAGTTTACATTCATTAAACGCAAGCCATCGCATAGCCTTTGCAAAAAATATCAGCAAGATGTTTATTTGGATTGTAAAGTATGCGTATGCTCGCATTAAACATAACGTTCGGGACAGGTGTTTCGATCGGAAGCCAATATTAATATATTTTGATACTTGCCTTATTGCAGCACTGCTGTTACTGCAACAGGAGAGGCGCCAACGTTGGCTGCTGTAAGAGCGGCTGCCGTCGGACTTTCCACACTTATTGTGGCTTGGAGAACTGCTCTCAGAATCAGTTTATTGGCACATTCAAATCGTTCTGCAACATGCACGTAAATACGTACCCCGAGCGACCCAAGCACAATGATACCTGTGTAATTTGCTTTGAAACGCTGATCAAGAAAAATCATAGATTCTGCTGCACCAAGTATATCTATGGCAAGTGCTGCAAAAACGGTTGGTACCACAAGGATTGTCTGCAGCGGTACGCCAATTCGGCTGGTTACTTCTTTAAGTGCCCATTGTGCAATGATACCGAGAGATTCAATTTGGTTGCTTTGTGGGGCATTTCCGTGCCGAATCGGTAAGTGAAACTAAAAGAGTTAAAAATGGATTTTTTTCTCAGCATCATCTATTTTCTTGCCGCTACAGCGATGCATCTTGGGAGGATAACGATGCATATGCAGATCAGCTGGTGCTACCCACAGACTGCACTGCCCGAAACTGTGCCAACGCAAATGGACGCAAAGGCAGCATGGAAACTTTATTATATTGTATAATGTGCGGCTCGAATCCGGTGCACACTGAGTGTACATCGATCAAGAACCAGGACTTTTGCTGCGAGGACTGCTCCGTCGTTTTGAACAGGCCATTAGAGGTTTTTGAGTCTCATGACGTCGATGATGATGAGGATAATGATGCTAATGACAGTGATGATGATGACAATGATAATGAGGACAAGGACAATGCCGATGATGATAATGATGATGCTAACAATAATAATAACAACGCTGATGATGATGACGATGATGATTTGGATCCACTTGAGAAGTTTCTTTCGATGGCGAATTCAGCAACATTGAGCAGCGCAACCATTCGCTCACACAGTCGCCCTACCAAGCCCGAAACAAAGTCCGACTCTGAATCGGATTTTGACTGGGATATATCAAAATTTACACAGTTTAAAAATGAGAAGGATAATGTGAACAGCGCAGCTGCAGCGCCAACCGTAATGCAGCCCAATAATGAACAACTGCGCACGCGCAACATTCAACAAAGAGGCATGGGCAATCGTCGTACTCTCGCCGCTGAAACTGTGAGCACCCGTTTGCGCACTCGTTCGCGTTCAAGTCATACTCGATCTAGATCGCCAGTAGGTGAACTGGTGGAGCGACGCTCCTCTCGAAATCATCGCCAATCGCCAGACCGCGCCCAAATGGATACAAGTCCTTTAATCTGGCGAGGACGACAGCGATTGCGCTCGCGCAACACAGAGGTCAGTTCGCCATTCGATATATCTTGTGTGGCGAATCGCACTCGCGCTCGCTCGCGCAGGTAATGATTAGATCGCTTCCCATTGTATATATCAATAAAATGATATAAGTTTTTCGTACATTATTTTTATGAAAAGTAAGTAGGAATTATATTAAGTGTTGATAGTTCTGTATTCCTCAAATATTTAATTTTTTATTATTTTTTAGTTTCTAACTATTTTTCTTTAATTTTTTTCATATATGATATATTAAAATGTGTGGGTGAAAATTTCTATTTTCTCATGCATTTCTATAAATTAGATAGAGAAGGAGAGAGAACTGTATCTTGCTCATTTTCATAGCAGACTTAGAGACTAAATTCCAGAATATGAATATGGAATATCCAAGTGGAAATCTAAACACATTTAAGACAATAAAATCTCATAATATATTTTTTGTTTTTCATTTTGTTTTTATTTGAAAAGTCAAAAGTCGGAGATAACTGCAATATGAGGAATCAATGAGAATGACATTGATTTTCGTAGGCGATATAAAATAAATATATCGATATAATTGTCCAGGCAAATAATAGACTAAATAATAATCGGCGCCTCTTGGTATTGGTAAATGATCTTTAAAGTGCTGTTTATTTCGAAGTGGCATTAGATATTTGAGTTATGTTCAGATGTTGATGCAGGTCATTATAATATATTTCAGATAATGATTATGTTGCACTCTGCCTTAGTCATAAACGATATATTCAGTGTGGAAAAACACCACACATATTTGTATATCGCTGGTATAATCGATAGATCGATGTCTTTTTTTTTATATCCGTACTCCATTCCATATATATACGTGCGTTAGTAATAGTTTACTCATAAAATGCATATAATTTAGGGACATAAATGTAATTAAGTTATTGAAGGCAGTCAGCATAGCAGGTGCAAAATAAACCAAATATAATTTAAACAGAAAAGTGCATATATGTGTGTAGGATTTCAACAAACGACGTCAAATAATAATAAAAAAGAAAAACATAATTTGCTGGCATTGTGTGTGCGAAAGAGATAGGACAACTTGCTAATTTATTGTGCGTATGCGTTGTGTTCGATGTCAGTGTGACATTAATAGCTTTGTATTTGTAATATTTTTAAACATGCACAGTAGCTAGAAGCCAAAACATTCAACGTAATCAACGTTAGCAAGAGTGCTGCAGCGCTTCCACCGCCACACCAGCACCAGCAGAAGAAGAAACATCAGCCGCAGCAACAACAATAACAACAAGTCGGCCTCTGTCTGACGTTTTAATGCCGCCTCCCCAATCGAATTGCTGATAAATACATGCAAAAAGAAACACCAACATCAGTAGCAGCAGTTGCGTTAAGTGCTTTAACGCGAATTTAACGTAAATTAAATAACAAGTAAAACTATAAACTCTTCGTACAACAACATTTATAACAATAGCGAGCTTATCACACGCACACGCCCGCAGCAGCAGAGCCAGCAGCAGCAGCAGCACCAGCAGCCGCGAGCAAGAACAACAGTTTATCATATTTGAGTGACCGGCGGCAGCAGCAGCAGCAGCAGTAGGCATCGTCAGCGCTGTGAGTGCGAACGAGAGGCCGACGCGTACGACTGTGTATATGTGTGTGGGTGTGTCTGTCTGTGTGTGTGTGTGTGGGAGCAAGGCACAGGCAAGGCAAAAAGAAACACCAACAACAAACAGCAGAAAGTAGTAGCAACCGCAGCAGCAGAACATTTTTTTTCCACAAATTTTTGCATTGTTCAACTGGAAAGCCAGCGTCAACCTTAACGCCGACTAACTGTAAATTACAACAGCAACTCCAAAATGGCACGCCACTTTGATCATATGTTCAAGTTGCTTATAATTGGCGACAGCGGTAAGTGCAAATGCAAATATTTCCATACCCATGCTATATGCATTCATAAACACACACATTTATACATACGTATATTTTGCACATACAACATGCCTGCATGCTTTTTTTCACCTGCCCAACAGTGCTACAACAACAACGTTATAAATAGCAACAAACCATTAAAAAAAGATAAAGAAGAAGAAAACATGAATAAACCTGCACTGCTTGTGCTCAATCCCATTTTGTGTATTTTCGGCTTGTGTTTTTGGCTGATTTCCTTGTTTGTGTTTTATGTTTGGATTTATCTGCGCCCAATCAGCTGTTCGTTCTATCTCCTTCTCTGTCTGCTGTTAGCTCAATGTGTAATGTAAAACAAATTAGAAATCGCTTGACTACTTCAACATAATCAATTTGCCATCTTGTGGCATCTCCTTTCCCACCAATCTCTTTCTCTGTCTGTCTCTTTCTGTCTCACTTTCATCTAAAACATTTGTTATCGATGTAAATGAGGCTAAATCGATTAGGAACTAAACGTTACGCAGTTGACGTTCTTGTTATCGTATTTGTTAATTTCTAAATGGAATTTATTTAGATATAACGTTTGTTGACAATTCTATACTTAAATTACCTTTGCACCAATGTCTCCATTTAATGCGAATTTATAAACAGATCGCAAAGCCAGCTCTTAGGGCGTTGGGTGCCACTCAAATTGTAATTAGAGAGCTGCCAGCTACCAAATGATTTGTTGTTGTATAAACAGAAAACTTCAACTATTGTTGCACACTTGCTCATGTAAACAAATACATCTCTATATGTATGAGGACTTCATTAGCTCTTTCAATCGATCAAATTTTCAATGATTTGTTGTTTATTTCAGGTGTGGGCAAATCATCGCTTCTCATACGGTTCTCAGATGACACATTCTCGGGCAGTTATATAACGACAATTGGGGTGGACTTTAAGATCCGCACCGTCGAGATCAATGGCCTGCGCGTTAAGCTCCAGATCTGGGATACCGCTGGTCAGGAGCGTTTCCGTACAATCACCAGCACCTATTACCGCGGCACGCACGGCGTCATCATTGTTTATGATGTCACGAATGGGGATTCCTTTGCGAATGTACGCCGTTGGCTGGAGGAGATTCAGAACAATTGCGATGTGGTCAACAAAGTATTAGGTGAGTGACTCTAAAGGTCAAGGCGCGATTGAAGCAAATTGAAATGAGTTTTGTTTTTTCAGTGGGCAATAAGAATGATGATCCGGATCGTAAGGTGGTCATAACGGAGGACGCGCAGCGCTTTGCGCGACAAATGGATATTGAGCTATTCGAGACATCCGCCAAAGACAACCTCAATGTGGAGGACATGTTTCTGTCCATAACGCGACAGGTGTTGGATCATAAGCTACGCACCGCCTCTGATGAACAGCAGAAGGATCGCATCATAATTAAACAAAACAAGAACAAGGGGAAATCTAATAAATGTTGCAGTTGAAAGCGACGGAGCAGCAGCAGCACCAGCAGCAGGAGGAGCAGGAGCAGGAGCAGCATCGATAGCATGTTGATGAGGTTACGTTGTGGGGGCGCGTAGTACAGGTTCATTTGGCACACACACACACAGAAACACATACAACTTAAACACAGTTAGACAAACATATGTAGTTTACACAGACACACACATACACAAGACAAATTTTTTGTTTTTTTTTGTTTTAATTTTTTAAATAATGCCTCAGAGCCGTTAAAAAGTGTAAAGCGCAATTAATTGTATTTAGCAATTTATATACATATTATACACATACATGCATATATATGTATATATATGTATGTATATATAAATATAAATATATATATGTATATATTTATATAGATATATATATACATATATGTATAAATATAAAGTAAACAAGAAAACAAAACAAAAAAACAAATTGCATATTTATACAAGAATATATTTATATATGTATATACATATATATATATGTATATATATATATATATATATATATATAGATATATATATATATATATATATATATATATATATATATATATATATATAGATATATATATATATATATATATATATATATATATATATATATATATATATATATATATATATATATATATATGTATATATTTATATATGTATATATTTATATATATACATATATATATATATATATATACATATATATATAAAAGAAAAGGAAGCAAAACAAAGAAAATTGTATTTACAATAATAACGAGAAATCAAACAATAATTGCGAATATGCAGCAGACGACAAATTGAGGACAAATTTAGAATATGGTTTAATATGGTTTACCCATCGCTGACATTCGTTATGGAAACTGGAAATACTACAGACTTAGTATATATCAAAAGAATATTGTTAAAATTATAAATAGATTGTATTTTTTCACAGTTGCAACTATTTTTCTACAGTTCAGTTCGGCTGATCCTATCCTGCCTATGATATATACATATACACATACCTATATATATATATAAGTTATTTATTTTAAGATTTCGAAATTATGTTAAGCGCGTACGGAGTATCGGCGTTAACACTTATTCGAAAAATGAGAAGACTTTGTGAATTCCGTGGCGATGACCGACGTTCTTTATTTCCAAAAATCAACTAACTCTATTTGACAATCGTTCTTATAATAGAAGCTAGCCCTAAGCCCTGAAAACGCTGGCATTGCATACAGTACTAGGTCGCTGGTCAGCAACATTGTTGCGCGTGGACGCTTCCGCTGTTGTGCAATGTCCGCTTGAGACAGCTGGTGTCGTAAGCATTTATGCTGAGAATGCATGGTCAGCTTCAATATTTACGTTCTGCTGATCAATTGTGTTAACTCCTCCCCCACTTAGGTGAATGACGTCCTCGGAGTTCTTCAAACTGTTAATTACCGCTTGAAGATCAAGTTGACGTTTGCTCCTCTGATGTCTTTGATAAAGTTTCATTGAGGCGTAGCAGGAAAGTAGAATGATGACCACGGTTAGTCCAGATATTATTGGTCTTTTTACCAGTTGTTCTTCTATTTGAGCAATGTCCCGGATGTTTTTTATGCTTAGCTTCTGTAGGTACGGCAGGCTCGGTATTTCCTGATGATCCGTTATATTTAGAAGCGTGGATGCCGCTGGTCTCGGGGATTTCCTCACGTATTTTTTTGGATTTTTATATACGGTGCCGTTTACCTTTATCTCGTTGTCAAAGGTAAGGAGGAATGTCCCTTTCACCATTTGCTCGTCAACTATAGCCACTCTGTCGTTGATGATGATAACGCCATCGTCGATGATGGTTAGAGGTTCAAGATGGCTGGGTCGAGTTGAGCAATGTGCAGTGCCACCTGAGTGCAGTTGTTGCGCGCACGTTGTATAGGGTAATTTCTTACAGAACGTTGTTGTGAGGGCTGTGCTACAATTTCCTATTGATATTACATGGTTGTCGCAAACAGCTATATCGTAGTCTTCGGCGAAATTGATTACAATGCCATCGTGTTGGACAGGGTATATTGTTAATTTTTTACATACTATGTTAGGCTTAGGGTATCTTATAATAAAGTGTAAAAAGTTATTATTTAGCAAGACTTTAACTTGAGATACTTCCATTAAGTCAGTAATAGTGATATTTATAGGGTGTTCATTAACAATATTTTTTAAGTCAGAAGAATCTAATATGGAGGGGTTTACAATTCCAACCTTTGCAAGTGTTACTGATAGCATCAAGGTTTCTAGTTCTGAAATAATTATTCTGTTTCTTGAGAGCAGTGTCTCATACAAATGTTCTGTATCTATTTGCTTTGTTTTTGTTATGAGGTTTACTGTGTCGGTTAGCTTATTTATTTGTTCTTGCATTTTTGTGTTTATAGTTACTTGCCTGTTTTCTGATTCTACAAGTTCTTTCTGTGTAAATTTAAGATTTTCCAAGTCGTCGGAGTCTGGCGTGCCAGCTACGACTTTAAGAACGGTGCCTAGCATATTAATGCTCCTAGCATGTCTATGATGGATATTTACTGTGGCTATTAGTGCTTCTATATGTTGTATATCTGTGTCTAATAACTGTCTCATATGTGATCGTGGAAAATTTTGTCTTAATTTCTTCGTGTCCTCTACTATTGCTGAGTATAGAGTAAGATTAGTTGAATGTTTTAAATATTGGAAATCCGTCCAAATGGTTACATATCCGTCTGAGATCGGTATGTAATCTGTGTTCGTATAATCGGTAAGTTTCGCCGCTACCGTTGTGGCGAAGAGAATTATAGCCCAAATCCTAAAGATAAAAAGAAATAAAAAGGGTTTAATGTTTTGTTTACCTTAGGTTGTCTTTGTGGACCACCCTCCCTTTTATTAAGACCGTTGTCCCCAAGTCTGCGTCAATTTTGTTTTCATTGTACAGTGGTGTCAATTTGTTCCCTAAACGTCTGTTTGCCTTTACAAGAACTGTATCGCCTACTTGGAATTGTCTATCGTGTCTTGTTTCATTTACCCTGTTTATTTGGAGCTGCTGTGCTTTTTGAATTTTATTTCTTATTTCAATTTTAAGTTCTGGGGAGGATGAGTGGATTATGTCGATTGGACGTTTGTCTGTTACCGAGTGAACTGTGTTGTTGTATTCAATAGTTGCTTGGAGTATCGTTTCAACGGTATCTGTAATTTTTCTTTGAGCTGTTAGGCATCTTGCGATGTCGCTGAGGGTGCT